TTTTTTGAGCAAAGAACCAAGTAGGAAATACATTTTCAATTATAAACTTGGGACAGGTCTAGTCAAAATCTAGTTTTTCACTTTTTTTCTTCGAAGGTTTATCCAATTACAGTGAAACTTTGAGTGAGTATACTAATATTTATACAAAACAGTTTTAAATATCTAAAGGAAGAAATGTATTCTATATGTCGTCAGACCCAAATTTTATAAATTTGGTTATACATTCAAAAACAACGTGACTTAAAATTTTTCCAAAAAAATAATTTTTATTAATTCAGAAATGTGTGACCTGAGGATTAGAATGCTCAAACAAAGTTTTACTGTATTTGGATTTATCCTCGAAGGGAAAAAAGTGAAAAACGAGATTTTGACTAGACCTGTCCCAAGTTCATAATTGAAAATGTATTTCCTACTTGGTTCTTTGCTCAAAAAAATTTTAGGATCTTTTATTTGTATTTGTTTTAAGCACTTGAATATTTATGCAAAGTTTCAATCCATTTGGACAAACCCTCGAAGAAAAAAGTGACAAAATTGATTTTGACTAGGGTCGCCCCTAGTCCAAAATTGAAAATGTATTTCCTACTTGGTTCTTTGCTCAAAAAAAATTTAAGATGTTTTATTTGTATTTGTTTTAAGCACTAGAATATTTATGCAAAATTTCAATCCATTTGGATAAACCTTCGAAAAAAAAATGAAAAACTAGATTTTGACTAGGGTCGCCCCTAGTCCAAAATTGAAAATGTATTTCCTACTTGGTTCTTTGCTCAAAAAAAATTTAAGATGTTTTATTTGTATTTGTTTTAAGCACTAGAATATTTATGCAAAGTTTCAATCCATTTGGACAAACCCTCGAAGAAAAAAGTGACAAAATTGATTTTGACTAGACCTGTCCCAAGTTCATAATTGAAAATGTATTTCCTACTTGGTTCTTTGCTCAAAAAAATTTTAAAATGTTTTATTTGTATTTGTTTTAAGCACTAGAATATTTATGCAAAGTTTCAATCCATTTGGATAAACCCTCGAAGAAAAAAGTGACAAAATTGATTTTGACTAGACCTGTCCCAAGTTCATAATTGAAAATGTATTTCCTACTTGGTTCTTTGCTCAAAAAAATTTTAAAATTTTTTATTTGTATTTGTTTTAAGCACTAGAATATTTATGCAAAGTTTCAATCCATTTGGATAAACCCTCGAAGAAAAAAGTGACAAAATTGATTTTGACTAGACCTGTCCCAAGTTCATAATTGAAAATGTATTTCCTACTTGGTTCTTTGCTCAAAAAAATTTTAGGATCTTTTATTTGTATTTGTTTTAAGCATTTGAATATTTATGCAAAGTTTCAATCCATTTGGACAAACCCTCGAAGAAAAAAGTGACAAAATTGATTTTGACTAGGGTCGCCCCTAGTCCAAAATTGAAAATGTATTCCCTACTTGGTTCTTTGCTCAAAAAAAATTTAAAATGTTTTATTTGTATTTGTTTTAAGCACTTAAATATTTATGCAAAATTTCAATTCATTTGGATAAACCCTCGAAGAAAAAAGTGACAAAATTGATTTTGACTAGGGTCGCCCCTAGTCCAAAATTGAAAATGTATTTCCTACTTGGTTCTTTGCTCAAAAAAAATTTAAGATGTTATATTTGTATTTGTTTTAAGCACTAGAATATTTATGCAAAGTTTCAATCCATTTGGACAAACCCTCGAAGAAAAAAGTGACAAAATTGATTTTGACTAGGGTCGCCCCTAGTCCAAAATTGAAAATGTATTCCCTACTTGGTTCTTTGCTCAAAAAAAATTTAAAATGTTTTATTTGTATTTGTTTTAAGCACTTAAATATTTATGCAAAATTTCAATTCATTTGGATAAACCCTCGAAGAAAAAAGTGACAAAATTGATTTTGACTAGGGTCGCCCCTAGTCCAAAATTGAAAATGTATTTCCTACTTGGTTCTTTGCTCAAAAAAAATTTAAGATGTTATATTTGTATTTGTTTTAAGCACTAGAATATTTATGCAAAGTTTCAATCCATTTGGATAAACCCTCGAAGAAAAAAGTGACAAAATTGATTTTGACTAGGGTCGCCCCTAGTCCAAAATTGAAAATGTATTTCCTACTTGGTTCTTTGCTCAAAAAAAATTTAAAATGTTTTATTTGTATTTGTTTTAAGCACTTAAATATTTATGCAAAATTTCAATTCATTTGGATAAACCCTCGAAGAAAAAAGTGACAAAATTGATTTTGACTAGGGTCGCCCCTAGTCCAAAATTGAAAATGTATTTCCTACTTGGTTCTTTGCTCAAAAAAAATTTAAGATGTTATATTTGTATTTGTTTTAAGCACTAGAATATTTATGCAAAGTTTCAATCCATTTGGATAAACCCTCGAAGAAAAAAGTGACAAAATTGATTTTGACTAGGGTCGCCCCTAGTCCAAAATTGAAAATGTATTTCCTACTTGGTTCTTTGCTCAAAAAAAATTTAGGATGTTTTATTTGTATTTGTTTTAAGCACTAAAATATTTATGCAAAGTTTCAATCCATTTGGATAAGCCCTCGAAAAAAAAATGAAAAACTAGATTTTGACTAGACCTGTCCCAAGTTCATAATTGAAAATGTATTTCCTACTTGGTTCTTTGCTCAAAAAAATTTTAGGATCTTTTATTTGTATTTGTTTTAAGCATTTGAATATTTATGCAAAGTTTCAATCCATTTGGACAAACCCTCGAAGAAAAAAGTGACAAAATTGATTTTGACTAGGGTCGCCCCTAGTCCAAAATTGAAAATGTATTCCCTACTTGGTTCTTTGCTCAAAAAAAATTTAAAATGTTTTATTTGTATTTGTTTTAAGCACTTAAATATTTATGCAAAATTTCAATTCATTTGGATAAACCCTCGAAGAAAAAAGTGACAAAATTGATTTTGACTAGGGTCGCCCCTAGTCCAAAATTGAAAATGTATTTCCTACTTGGTTCTTTGCTCAAAAAAAATTTAAGATGTTATATTTGTATTTGTTTTAAGCACTAGAATATTTATGCAAAGTTTCAATCCATTTGGATAAACCCTCGAAGAAAAAAGTGACAAAATTGATTTTGACTAGGGTCGCCCCTAGTCCAAAATTGAAAATGTATTTCCTACTTGGTTCTTTGCTCAAAAAAAATTTAGGATGTTTTATTTGTATTTGTTTTAAGCACTAAAATATTTATGCAAAGTTTCAATCCATTTGGATAAGCCCTCGAAAAAAAAATGAAAAACTAGATTTTGACTAGACCTGTCCCAAGTTCATAATTGAAAATGTATTTCCTACTTGGTTCTTTGGTCAAAAAAATTTTTTGGATGTTTTATTTGAATTGACATAATTCTGACATAAATCATATACCAATATTACTTTTTGTAATGCATAGCTTAAAAAAATTCGAAATCTAAAATTTCGACTACCCCATCTGAATTGTGTTAATACTCTTCACTGTGGAAACCAAAAAACAAATTCTTTATCTTAAAACACTTGACAAAATAGCGACATAATTCAGGATTAATTACTTTTTAATAATATTTTAACATTTACGAGAAAATGTGGTTCAAATAAGTGTGAAGTATGGCCGAGATTTGGACCAAAATCAGCTATAATGGTTCATAGTGTTCCCGAGGGTGACAAAATTCAAACTAAGTGTTTTTGTAGCTGACATAATTATGACATAAATTAGGTATAACTTTTGAACTGTGTCGATATGGGTCTCGGCCTTACTTCACGCCCACCCTTCAAACTTATGCTGAGCAAATCTTGGTCTATCCATAAGACTTTTGATGGTACGGTGTGAATATATCCGCATTGGGAATTCTACCCGATACACTAGTTCTATAGAATTTTTGTGACAGAGGGGGAGGGGGGTTCTAAAAATCAGGTTTTTTGATGGACGTCATAAGTGAACGACCCCTAACCTGAAAAGCACAAGTCGGTTAATCGAACCAAAATTCGGCAACGGAGGAATAGAACATGATGCTAGACTTAAATTTAGTCCGGATTTCTATTCGATTAACTTACTTGTGCTATTCGCGTACCTATGTTAAGTTATTTAAATGCACAACTCAATATTCTACAATGAATGAATGTCCAAAAACATTTGAAATAATGTAGACACCAACAAATCATAATAAATACCATTTAAATCAGACTGAATATTCTAGGAAATGCTATACACGTGTGATGAAAAACAAGGTGTTTGTATTAAAAATCCCCATGCATGATCATTGATCGCAAAGATGTATTTTTTCACTTCAACTCAATGAACTTTCCCTGTTCTGCTGATGAGTTCTGTATCGATTTTAAAAAAAAATGAGAAAAGCTCTTTTTTGTATTCTTTCATTTCAGGGACTTTCATTTTTTTTGCTCGTTTCTTTTTTTTTAATTAAAAATTTTTCCTATACTTTTTATACAGTCTTTTTTTTTTGTTCCTCACAATATTTGTCGAAAAAACAAGAAAAGAAGAGAAAAAGAAAATGAAAGGAAAAACAATTTTTTTCCTTCTTTCCTTTTTTTTTTGCTAAATGAGTTCATGGAAATGCCAGGACAAAGCATCCTTGCGAATACTATAGTTGGCTGTGTGTTTTATTTTTCCCTCTGACGTGGTATGGGCACTTAATTAAGGGGAAGATCTTCCTCTTTTTTTATATAACAAATGGTCATTCGTGAAATTGTTTGAAAAAAAAAGAAAGCTTCTTTGCTGGAAAGAGAATGAAAATTAAGGTTTGCAATCCACATCAAATCACAACGGAAAAAAAGCGAGCGAGGATGGGTGGCATTTCATTTTCTTCGCAATTTTACCCTCACCCACTTCTTTTCATTTTTTGTGTGTGCTGTATGGATGGTATACATGGATAGGAGAGTACAAAAAAGAGGAAAAATATCGCGAACAAAAAAAAATGAATGTAATTTATTGTAGTCAACTGAGAGCTGCTGCTAACCACACGCAATCACATTCTTTTTCATCTTCCTTTTATAAATTTGAACATGACTGTACATTGAAGATGAAAAGAAAGAATCACCGCCGTCATGTCATAACAAAAAGCCATGAAATGTTATAGTTATTCCATAACTTTTATTTACTTCTACCCGTTTTCATACATTGCATTATTTATGATATTCTATTTACTTTATTGCTGAAACTGCTTTCTTAGCTGCAGCGTCTAAATCTTCAGCAGTTTGAATATTCAAACCGGACTCACTTAAAAGTTTTTTTGCAGCATCAACATTATTTCCTTCGAGACGAACGATTAAAGGCACAGTAAGATTGATTGATTGACATGCTTTAATGATTCCGTTGGCTATTGTCGCACAATTTACGATTCCACCGAATACATTTACGAGAATTGCTTTGACACTTTTATCACTTGTGATGATATGGAATGCTTTAAGGACCTGATCTTCTTTTGCACCACCTCCAACATCCAAGAAATTTGCTGGTTCACCACCATGAAGCTTAATAATATCCATTGTTGCCATTGCCAATCCTGCACCATTAACCATACATCCGATATTACCTCCTTCCATTGAAATGTAATTAAGTTGATATTTGCTTGCTTCCACCTCTTTTGGATCAATCTCACTCGTATCTTCCATCTCGAAAATGGCTTTTTGTCTAAACTGAGCATTGTCATCAAAATTTAATTTGGCATCGACTGCAATAACACGCTCGTCGTCTGTCTCTGCCAATGGATTAATTTCAATTTGAGTTGCGTCAACTTTTGAGAATAAATCGTAAAGTCTTTCAATTTGATGTGCTGCCTTTTCTACTAATGTACCCTTAAACTGAAGGAATTGAGCTAATTCAACTGCTGTTTCGTGTGATAATCCTTTAACTGAATTTATGGCTACAGTCTTGACTCGTTCTGGTGTCTCTTTAGCAACTTTTTCAATATCCATTCCACCATCAGGACTTGCTATAATTACTGGCCCGTTATGCTCACGATCCAGCACAATACAGAAATAAGTCTCACGAACAATATTGACGGAATCAGCAACCATGACTTTCTTTACTTCAATTCCTTCAGTTGGTGTTTGGTTTGTAATTAATTTATGTCCCAGCATTTTACTGACCAATTCTAGCGCCTGATTTTTGTCTGTTGTCAAGTGAACACCTCCTTTGAATCCATTATCAAAATGTCCTTTGCCTCTTCCACCAGCCAAGATTTGTGCCTTGATAACATACTCCTTTACATCTGTTTGAATGATTTATAGACTTATTACATAAAGTAAGGATGCAGAAATGTCATGAATACTCACTGAAATCTTCTAAAATTTTCTCATCATTTTTTGAGTCCAATACCCGAAATTTTTGGATAGCTACTCCTGCTTCATCGAGGAGCTTCTTACTTTGAAATTCTAATAAGTTTAAATGCCTTTTCTGATGTGTTAATGAAGTAACAAAAATCTAAAAATAGAATCGATAAGAAAGTCAATGTGTCCAATGTTCTATGCTGATTATCAATTCTTTAAGGAACATCATGTGATTGTGCGTCCATAAATATTACTCACTTTGTTTATTCTAGGAATTTTGTTGTTTAATTGTCTTAAAAGTAAGTTTGACATGGCAGAAACTTGTTATGCTTATTTCGTTACTTTAAATGTTCCTGTACTTTCCAATTTTAGTAAATTATATTTTTTTTAAAGTCTAAAAGCTTGTCTATACGTTTTTGTACTGTGTTATTGAAGATTAAGTGTCAAAAACCAAATGTTATTACACGCCGGAATATAATCAACACTACAGGAAGTGATCTCTAAAATAGGCAGTTTTGGATGATGTATATGGAACGGTCTGTATCAGTCTGTATCTTTGAGGAACCGACTGTTTTTTACTCAGCATTGGTGCTGAAAATATTGAAAATTTCAAAACCGTTAATTTTTTGGCAGCATGGCTGAAAGTATTGATAAGCATAAACTGGTTTAGAGAAAGAAATTTCTTCTGTGACTGAGTTCTAGACTTAGACAAGTCATTTGTTAGTTCGCAATGGATAAGAAAGGATTGTTTTCAGTAATTTTGCTCATTTTTATGACAGGTGAATAAATTAGACAGGAACGAATTATCGAATGATTAATAAATATAATTCCAGTTAAACTACATGACTGTAAACTAAAGACACCACGTCCATCAGACACATGGACTAATCAAAACTTTATTTTTGACAAAAATCTGATGTTTCCTGTTGATTATGAAGAAACTGTATCTGATGACTTTAGAACAATATTTTCGCGTGATAATATATTAACACCTGTCCAATATTTATGGCAATGGCTTTTTAACAGACAAAATTTAGGAAAAACACCTCCACCTCAGCAATTACCTCCAATAATAATTTATGCAACAACTGAGATGCCTAGAACTTCATCAACAACTCAAATAATGACGACCACAACTGTAAGAGATGAATTCATCCCAACAGGAAGAACACGCAGGCCTTTAAAGTACAAAATTGAAGGTATGCTCAAAGAAATTATTTGAATTCATAAATACCATTTATTTTTGAACATTTCCAGGACACTGCAAAAATCCTCCAAAAAGCCACGAAAATAAGAAATCCAATAAATTGTAGATAATAAAATATTGAAATAAATTTATTACATAATAATGTGATACACAAAACAATATCATTTACGCTTTAACGCTTATGTCGTCATTAATCCAAAAGAATGTTCGAATTTCATCTTCATTTGATGGACGAACATGAGGTTTACTATCAATCAATGAATCTCTTATTTCCTTCATACGATTTGAATTAATTTGCATTGCTCGCTTTAAATCAATCATTGGTTCGGGATAGTCGTCTCCAATAATGCACTCACACGCTTCCTGTACATTATTTGGAGCTTTCCATGGCTCATGAATATATTTTTGATGAAAATGACGCAATTCCGGAATGTATCTTTTGACGTAATCTCCGTTTGGATCAAGACGATAAGCTAGTGCTATGATACTAAAGTTTGATGAGTCTAAAAGCTTCTCAAAAGCGCTTGACGATACCCACATCCAATTTCCTGAACAAACAGACCAGTCAGCATCCAAGAGATATTTTAAATAATGATCAAGACCAACTTCCCAACTTATCCATAGACCAGAGCGTGTCAAGAACCTTTAAAGTATTTTCATAAGAACCGGTTGGATATTAGATACCCGAAAAGAATATAGAATCAATTAGCAATAAATTACTTACGTAGCGGTGATGTTTCGTAGAGTATGATGTAGCCATCCTTCAGTTAATAATTGTCTCATAGCTGCATCAATTATTGGAAATCCTGTTTTTCCTTGTTTCCATTTTAATACGTCATCCTTGTTTGGAATAGACCATGGAATGTTCAAACATATTGGATTGTTCTTCATCTGTCCATAATTTGGGTTTTTAATAGACATTGTGTAGAAATATTCACGCCAAATTAATTGACCAGTAATATGATGTCCATAAGGATGCTTATTAGGCAATATCTCTTGTACACTCGCGAATAAGTCATGAATAGCATAATAGAACTTTCTTACAGATAAACAACCAAATCTTAGTGCTGCAGACATAGATGTAGAGACACCAAGTAAGTCAGGATTTGCTTGATTAGGAAGATAAGTTCCATTCCTAAATGCATCTTGTTCAATTGCTAAACGCAGTTCCAATTGTTCTAATGCTCTTTTTTCACCGCCCTTCCATGTCAAATAAACTTCCGATCCAGTTTTTTCTCGGAAAATTGAAAAATCTTCAGGTTTTGGAATGCCGTTCATTAACCCCAGCTGCATATGTAAATTCATTGGAATCTCACCAAAATCAACGTGTGAAAAGTCAGGAAATTCACATGGCTTTGATGGATATCCAATTACATTAATTGTGTGCAAAAACATTTGATATGTTAACGGTGGAAATCCTAATACAGAATAGAACTAAGATAATATTAAAATTATATCACATCCATCGACTTACCTCCGTTAACTTCAATAATTCTATTCGGATCCCATAATGTATGCGATATTTTCTCAACTGACTTGATTCCAAATTCTCTGCATAAATTTTCGACTCGTTCATCTCTTCCATTCCAAATCGGTTCGCAATCTTGTTCGTAACATATTTTTGTTATTCCTAATTCTTCTCGCATTTTCCTGAATATTTCTACGGGATCTCCACGAAAAATAAATAATCCAGGCGCCCCCAATTCTTTAAATTGTTCATCTAAGTCTTCCAATGATTCAATTAAGAATTTCATACGATTGTAACCGACATGCTGTGTTCCTTTTTCAAGAAGAAAGGAATAAAAGAAAAACAATAAGATATAATTTTCCGTACCTAATCCACGTGTTTGTAACAAAATATGTAAGGGAGAGAGATTCACGTGTCTTATGCAATTTACTATGAGTTGGTGTACTTTATTTTCGCGTGTTTTGTCGAAATTTTTATATTAAGTAACTTATTTTTGGATGGAGGATTCACGGATGTTTTGAGAAAAATAATCTCGAATTGTTAAGTTTGTCATTTAAAAATATTTAATATTTATTGATTTCGTGACTCTCCACCCCAGTTCTCTATGTCAAAATCATTTCATCTAATAACAATTTAAGTATTACTATTTGAGGGGGGGGGGGGGGGGTTCACAATTTTAAATTTTTCAATAAGGGGACCCCCAAAATCTCCTTTTAAGCTATCAAAAATGCGCTTTTAATTCCCAATTTTTCTACTGTCTACTGCACTGCTGATTATCATTTTGCAAAACATCTACGACGTTGTATTGCAATACATAGAAATTGATATATCTGTTTATGAAGTCACATCTCGCGAGAAGCTTTGAATATTCATTTTTCTCAATTGAATGCGATTTCACAGCGATAAGTGTGCACTTTTATTGATAATTAATTGTTAATGCTCACCTGCTGAACATCCATCAAAAATGAAAACGGGATAAAATGTATTTTTTTCAGCTCCACTTGACCTTAAAGCTTCAATTAAAGCTGGATTATCGTGCAATCTGGATTATTTTTTGAAAAATTTAATTAACTGCGGACACAAATGAAAATATTTATTGGAATTTTCCAAGTACCTTAATCCATGTCGGAACCATAAAATTGATTTTTCTGCCATTTTTTTAAAAATTTTTATCAATGAGCTTATAGGTTTTTACTTTCTATGTCCTTACAAATCAAAGTCTAAACAAGGAATGACTGATTTTCTATGTTACTTGAAGCACTTGTAAGCTATCGCTAATATATATTTTTTACGTCATGAAGAAAGCAGCTGAAGAGTCTTAAAAATCAGCATTATTGTTATTATTATTTGCAATCGAATGGCAGTATATAATGCACGTCTGATTACAATTGAACTTGAATTAAAAATGTAAATGTGCATTGAATAGTTTTCCAGAGAAGTGTATGTGTGTGTATGCTTTACTAGATAGTTCTATTTGGCATTGAAAAATGGTTCAATCGAAAAACCGTTGAGCACGTTTTCAGAAAACATTTGAATTTTCAGGGGGTTGTCAACAAAGTAAAAACTGTTGCCCCGAGAAAAAAAAGTAAACAAAAAATTCTATACGCAAAATCTCTAATTATTATATTAAATTCAATGTGATCGATGTCCAATATATTAATTACTTTGTGTACAATAAAGATCGAAACAGTCGACGATATGGAAAATGTAGACGGTATGTATGAAAAAGCCTGAATTTTCATAAAAAACAAATTTTCTTCTTTGTGTCTGAATTTTTTTGAAATAATTTTAATACTTTTTAATAAAGACTCGCAAGCAACAGCATCATCATTGGAATCACCAACCGTACGAAAAGAACGTCGTGGACAAAGGAAGCCAAAGAAAATTCAGATTGAAACGTATGCGAATGTCTTGAATGGTGATGAGAAGACAAAAGGAGTTTTACCAAAAACCAATAAGAATTCACGGGAACAAACTCCACAGAATGAATCCTCATCATCAGATATTACATGCAGTTCAGTTCCAGATACACCAACAGAAGTGAAATTTTTCTCTGGAAATCCATTTGTTGAACAGACGAATGGAATTTTACATCTATACAAGAAGAAGTATGTTCGTGTATGACTCATTTTAATGACTTTATATAATTCATTATTTCTGTGTATTTATTATGGACAGTGAACGCGACAATATTCAAGACGGTATTTCTCAAACATTATGCTTACTAGCCGTGCCGGCAACTTTAAGTTGTCACGATATTCTCAACTTTATTGCACCATGTCATTCAGTCATTAATCATGTTAGAATCGTTCGTGACGGATCACCAAATCAATATATGGTAATTCTTGATTTTCGTGCTGCTGAAGATGCTTTTGAATTTTATCAAACTTTTAATGGTGCTCCATACAACAGCCTTGAACCAGAACAATTATGTCATGCACTTTGGGTTTCAGCTATTGCTTGGGATAATGATGATTCAACGCCACCAAATCATACAGAACTTCCCGTTTGTCCAGTATGCTTGGATCGTATGGATGAAAGTGTTGATGGAATCTTGACAATTTTATGTAATCATACTTTCCACTGTGGCTGTTTATTGAAATGGGGAGACAGCACTTGTCCAATTTGTCGTTATGTCCAAACACCTGAAATCACTCAAAGTTCAGTTTGCATGGAATGTGAAGGAACTGAAGCATTATGGATTTGTTTAATTTGTGGGCACATTGGTTGTGGTCGTTATCAAGGTGGACATGCTGCAAAACATTATCGTACTACAAATCATACATATGCTCTTCAATTAGGCACTAATCGTGTTTGGGATTATGCTGGTGATAATTTCGTTCATAGACTTTTACAGAATAAATCAGATGGTAAGCTAGTTGCAACGCAATCACCCCATAATGAGCATGCTGGAGAAGAGAAAATTGATTCAATGCAATTAGAATTTACCTATTTATTAACATCGCAGCTTGATACACAGCGACAACATTATGAAGATAGATTATCAAGGATAGAAGCAGCAATGGCTAATGATAAGCAAAGTATTCTCATGGAAACTGAAAAACTTAAAGAAAATAATGCTCAAATAGAGCAGAAATTGAATAGTGTGATTAAGGAGAAGCAGGCAATCGAAAAGAGAATGACAGCAATGAGCGGACGTCTTGCTATCGTACTTAAAGACTTGTCTGAAGAACGGCAATTCTCTAAAACTTTACAATTAAATCACAATGCATGGCAAACAAAATATTCCAATCTTGAAAAACAGTATAAAGAAAAGGAAGCAGAAATAGTCGAGCTTAAAGATCAAGTGAAGGATTTAATGTTTTACATGGAAGCACAAAATACGATCTCTAAATCTGAATTAAAGGATGAAATCGCTGAAGGGTCGATTATAGTCGGTGAATCGAGTGGAAATAAAAGTAAGAATCGACGTAAAAAGAAGTAAATTCACAAATCTTTTTTGCTACATACTTTAAGTATCAATAAATAAACATAGGGGCAATTCCATGAGTGAAAAAATGCAAGTAAAATTCTTTTTGATCAAAATACTCTTAAAATAACACCTTTTTCCGTTCTTTTAAAAATTTATAATTAGAAATAACTCAAGATATTCATTTTAAAATAGGTAATTAAATGTTTAAAGGTCTATTTACTGAAATAATTCAGTTTTTTCATCGTTAATCGGTTAAGTTTACGAAAATTTTGCTTCTTATATCCTTAAAAAAAGTCTTCAAATATCCATTTTTTGTGCTCAAGTATATTTTTAAGCCATAGATATTCACTTTTTCTACTTATTTGTACCCTTTTTCTGTTCTTAAATGCTTTATTCATAGAGAAAATTAAAAAATACTGCGTTAATCGGTTAAGTTTTCAGCGCTTTATCCAAAACCAACAATAAACAGAATATTTGAATTTTGAATTTCCGTTAAATTTATTTATTGCTAAGAATAATTTCTCTTCGAAAAATAACATTTTATTGGGTTAATAATGAATTTAATGTGTTTTTTTTTCATGTTAACATCATGATTTTGTGTAATAATCATAATAATAATCAAGGCAATGAAAATTAGTTTGAATCTTTTGAAAATTTATAACGGTAAAAAAAAATTCAAATTCCTACAAGTAGATAAATATTACAACTTGTTTTTTCTCAGTTCCCTTTACTCGTGGAATTGCCCATAGGTAAACATTTCTTGTGACTGAATTATCAGGTGTTTTCTGACTCTTTACTTGTCTTTGTAATCAGCTGTTTTTCAGTTCGTATTAAGTGGCACTTTCGGATACATACATTCATATTCTTCTCCTCTTAACTCGTGTTTTCGGAACACAGCACTCTTAAAAAGATCAGATTGGCTTGCGGAATATATTCTCTCAAGTTTTGAGTTTTATTAAGGATTAAACATTTACAAATCAGTGAAAAGTCATCAACAAAGTTAGCAAAGCCGTAACAAAAGGCATTTAAAATGTGTTAAAATATAAAAGTTTACGTGATGCTGTCCAAATTTAGCAAATGCGCTCAAAACAGCAACAGCTTTTTGATACTTCCCTTGATTATATGGAATAGCTCAAAGTCCATGTTGCGTGTAGTGTGAATGTGAAATGTTGCCTAAGAATTTTTACATTTTTAAATCGAGTTTAAGTAATTTAAATTTAAGTAGAGTCCTTCGAAGGTGTCACAATGATGCTCGACAAGTATCTATAGGGAATGTCACATTTGAGAAAACTACATTAGCTAAAAATCCCGAATATGTTCCAAAGAAATTCAGTAAGTTGCTGTGAATTCTTAAAAATGGTTTAAATTTCATTTAATCATTTTCACTCCAGTTGACTTTACTAGTGACGGTGTTCAAAAGATCCCAAATACTACTTTACATCACTTACGATGGATGATACAGAAGGATAATATTAATCAAGACATTTTCTTGATTGGAAGACCTGGAAAGTACAAAAGACAAATTGTCATGACTTATCTCCAGCTTACAAATCAAGAATGTGAATATGTAAGTTTGTCACGAGACACAACCGAGTCTGATCTTAAACAACGACGAGAAATTCTTAATGGAACATCAATGTTTATTGATCAAGCTGCTGTAAAAGCTGCAAAGAACTCTCGAATTTTAATTATTGATGGAATTGAAAAAGCTGAAAGAAACATTTTGCCGATTTTAAACAACTTGCTCGAAAATCGGGAAATGCATACTGAAGATGGAAAGTTCTTAGTAAGTTCGCAGCACTATGATAATCTCCTAAGTGAGCATGGGCAGGAAGCATTAGAGAAAATGGGTTTAGTAAGAGTATCAGAGAATTTCCGAGTTATAGCTATTGGATTACCAGTGCCAAAATATCGTGGGTCAGCACTCGATCCTCCTTTAAGATCAAGATTCCAGTCGAGAGACATTACCAATTTAACATACCATGAAGTTGTTGCAGACGTGCTTAATGAATGCCCAAACGTGCCCGTTGATAATTTGAAAAAAGTTGTATCCTTTGGTTTTGGACTTTTGTCCAGCGATTCCTCAACAATGTCATTTCCTGACTTTCCTTTAGACAACTTTATTGAAGCTGGAAAAGTTCTTTCTAATAATCCGAATATTTCTGAATATGAGCTAATTAATCGTCTTTATCCAATCGAAACAATTTTATCTCCAGCACAAAAAGCATCAGTTAAAACTTTAATGGAATCACTAAAAATTGAAGTTCCATCAAAGCCAATTAAGCAGAAAATCGTTAATGTAGAGCATAAAACTGATCACTCAATTGTTAATATCAAACGATCAGGCTGGATTATGTCTTCAGATGTTTCAATCAACATTCCAGCTAGCATACATCCATACAAACTAAATAATGAAAGTTTCATTGAAGTTGATTCACAATCGAATTTATTAGCTGATGTAATGCAAACCTATGCTGTTGGAGATTTATGCTTATTAGGAGCTAGAGGCTCAGGTAAAAGTGCAATTACTATGCAGCTATGTAAAATCCTTAATCAACCATTCGAGCAAGTTACATTGTATAAGGATATGAGTGCAAGAGAATTAATCCAGAGTCGAAATACAAAAACTAATGGTGATACAGAATGGATTGATTCTAGTCTTGTTAAAGCTGCAAAAAATGGAACTGTAATTATTTTAGACGGTCTTCATAGATTACATTCAAGTACAATGTCAATTCTTCATAGATTAATTCATGATAGAGAGTTGCAGCTCTACGATGGATCAAGATTGATGAGAAGTGACAAATATGAAGATTTAAAGAGTTTAGGGATGAGTGATGAGCAATTAATGGAAAAAGGCATTTACAAGATTCATCCAGCATTTCGTATTATTGCTTTAGCGGAACCACCAAAATTAGATGCAACGAATTGGTTGACACCCGAAGTTCTTAGCACATTTATGTTTCACGAAGTCAACAGCTTAACGAAACAAGAAGAATTAGAGATAATCACGAAACTTTATGGCTCAATTCATCCATCAATGAGTAAAATCATTGACTTGTCACAAACATTACGAGCAAAAAAAGAAGATCCAATGTTTAAGAACTTTGAAGAATCTTTATCGACCAGACAACTCCTTAGAATTGCTCATCGTCTATCCCAATATTCTGAGAATGGTGATGATGCATCCATTTATGAAATAGTTCAAAGTGTCTTTTTATCAAAATTTTTACCTTCTTTGCCGCGAGAAGTTCTTGAAAGTACCTTAAAGCAGCACGAAATAAATCCTGTCCAAAAGAGTTTATCCAAGAAAATTGATATCGATAAAACAGACACAGATTTAAGAATTGGAAAGACCCATGCAAAAGTTCAACCAAAAGACTTGACGCATTCTATGAAAGTACCTGAAACTTTATTTTATGACACGCCACATTATGTTGTTCTTTTGGAAAGAATTCTTCAAGATTTCTTACTTGGATATCATTTATGCTTAATTGGTAATCAAGGTGTTGGAAAGAATAAGCTTATTGATCGATTGCTGTATCTTTTAAACTATCCACGAGAGTATATTCAGCTGCATAGAGACACAACCGTACAAACATTAACAGTACAATTTAAGGTTGAAGATGGAAAAGTCATTGCTGAAGATTCACCATTAGTTAAAGCTGTTAAGCATGGTTATGTGCTTGTTATTGATGAGATTGATAAAGCACCGATTAATGTCACTTGCATTCTTAAGAGTTTAGTTGAAACTGGAGAGATGTGGATGTCTGATGGACGTAAAATTGTCTCATCTGATGTTGATGTGGATGAATCGAATGAAAAAATAATAAAGACACATCCAGGATTTAGGATAGTTGTGCTTGCTAATCGCCATGGATTTCCTTTTCTTTCAAATGACTTCTTTGCATCTATGGGCCACTTGTTTGCATGCTCATCTATTGACAATCCTGAAGCAGATTCTGAGATTAAACTTCTTCAGCAATATGGACCCAATGTTGATATTAAAATGATCAAAAAATTAGTAAATGCATTTAGTGAACTCCGATCAATGGCAGATACATCGAAAATTTCATATCCTTATTCGACACGTGAAGTTGTGAATATTGTAAAGCATTTAAACAAATATCCTGACGAGAATCTTAGTGAATTGATAGGCAATGTGTTTGATTTTGATCGTCATGCACCGGAATCATTGGAACAAGTTACGAATGTCTTGATAAAGCATGGCTTAGATATTGGAACGTATGCTAACAATGAATTGACAGAATTTAGAAGGCAGAAGAAATTACAAGTTACTGTAAATCATTATAGTGGAAAAGATGTTTCAGCTCCAAAGCATGGAAAAGTTGATCCAAATAATGATCCTCATGTTGGTAAGACCCCTTCAAAATCTTTCAATGCATTCCATTAGTTTTGTGTTAAAGCTTGGTTGAAGCTGATGTTTTAGATTTCTATTGACGATGATCGCAACACCCTCTTTTGGTCTATCCACGCGATCCAATCGATGAATTACGTAGTCTGGATGCGAATCAATTTTTGAGTTTTGTTTATTGAATGTTTCTGAATTTTTTATTTTTCAAAGGAATTACATCTTTTTTGAAGTACACTAGGTAGTTCTGGTCGTCGTCTTGTTCGTGTCTTTTGTGTTTCATTGTCATATTAACAATTTTTTCTGGTGTGATTTTTACACTATGAAGTTCCTTCTCCAACTCCCTGATTTCCATATCTAGAGTAGAGTACGTACTTCTTCAGTGGTTCTTGGCTGGAGTATGTGTGAAAGTGATGCTTTTTGTCTTTGAGAAGTTGGATGAATTTCTTGTAGCCTCAACGAACAGTCCTATCACTTCCCGAACAAAAAGTTTCACTGCTAGTCTGTTTTAGTTCTCTTGAGATTTTTGAATAATTTTCGGAGTGATTTGTAAGCACGTCTGTTCCCGTTGAGATCTAGTTTGCAATTGCATATTAATATAATTTTTTTTGTTAAAATCATAGGAGGAAACACGTGGGCTGGTGGAAGTGGGGGACGTGATACTGCTGGATTAGGTGGAAAAGGTAAGTTATTTATTTTTTTGTAAAATTTGTCATAATTTTCGAAAAAATTCAGCATCCGTAATTAAAGGTTTTTTGATTTTTTTTAATTAAACTACTAATTGTATATTTTTGAAAAATAAGCGAAATTGTTCAGTTTAACGAGTTGATTAAGCCTAGTCTAACAGTTCTTGTGAAAGTTTTTTCGTTAAGGAGGTATTTAACAAAACTCTTCGATTACTGATGCTGATTTTTTTTTGTCCATCACCAATTACTTTGGATACTTTCAATAATTAGAAAAATATTAAAGGTGGTCCGTATCGCTTATCAAGTGGAAATCCAGTCCATCAATTATCAGACCAAGAGAAAGATGATATTCCCGAAGATGTAAAACGTGCAGCACGTGCAATGAACAGAAAAGCATTTGAAGAAAAGTTGAAAGAAATAAAAATGTCGTCATTCGACTTTAATTTGTATCAGCAATTTAGTAGTCCAGTCAAGCCACATGTTACTACTTTAAGAAACATTTTGAGCACATTAGAAGCAAAAGCTAAGGGGAGACATTGGCAAAAGCACGTGACGTCAGGAGAATTGGACGATACTAAAATTATTGAAGGTATTACAGGAGAAAAGAATATTTACAAAATGAGAAAGGATTTAGATCCTGAGCCTGGTAGTGTCCAAGAGAAGCCAAAATTACTAAGCATTGTTGTAGACGTGAGTGGCTCAATGTATCGGTTTAATGGATATGATGGAAGATTAGATCGAGAATTAGAAGCTGTTACAATGATTATGGAAGCATTTGAGGGATTTGATAATAAAATTCAATATCAAATTATTGGTCATAGTGGTGAGAGCCCAAAAATTTCATTTGTGGATTACAAACATCAACCAAAGGACGATAAAGCTAGACTTGATGTACTAAAATTAATGTACACGCATAGTCAATACTGTTGGTCTGGAGACAATACTTTGAATTCAGCAAGAATTGCTGTGGATGAAATTGCTAAAGAAGAATCTGACGAAGCTATTGTTATAGTCCTTAGTGATGCAAATTTAAGCCGTTATGCCATCCCTCCTAAGAAATTATCAGAGATGCTTACTAAGCAGGAGCCAAAAGTTCACGGACACATCATATTTATTGGAAGTTTGGGAGAAGAAGCAGCAATGTGAGTATCATACCTGCTGATGATTTTTATAAAGTTTAATTGTGACTTCTCTACAGGATTAAGCAAACGATGGCACAAGGAAAAGCATTTTTATGTACAGAAGACATAGGAGAGCTTCCCAAGATCCTCAAAACAATTTTCCAATCATCACTTTTGAGACAATCATTCTAAGAGTAATGTAATTATGTAATTATGTAAATAGTTGTTGAGAAATAAAGAGCTTATGCTGCATACACTAACGACATCTTTGTGTCATTTTATGAATCTTCAAAATTCGGGGCTAGAAACTATTTCAAAAAGTTCGTTATTTTTTGATTCAAATTTAGTAATCTTGTTTACCAGTTTTGGTCTCGAAGATTTATTATTTTCGTTTAAAACATAGTTAAACTAAGTGATCAGATCAGATAAAGTGGCTTATTATAAGGTATAAACTCATATTAACTATAATAAATTCATAATTGCACAAACAATGTCGTTTTTAGACAGAATGGATTTAAGGAAAGCAATTCTTTTGAAAAAACCACTCCAAGATTCGTCTTTTAGCTCTTTAAACAGCTCTACAGCATCAATGTACGAATCAGCAGCAGAAGATTCAGACAGTTCTCTGTATTATTCATTCTCAAATAATTCAATTAAAGAGTTAAACAATTCTGAAGTTGAAAATGTCCAAGATCCAGCTGATGTCAGTTTAATAAGTGAAGCCGATGACAAGGAAAATACAGTAATTATGAAGCACATTGATGTACAAAGCAGTCCTGAAGAAGATATTAAAAAAGTTGAGGATAAAATACCAGAAAAAGAAGAGGAAGTGGAGCAAATGGAGATTAATGATTCAGTTATGAATACAACGTACACAGAAGAAGATCAAAAAGTTTCAGCCGATAAACAAATACCTGAGATTTCAAATAGTTTGATTGTCATGTCTGAAAAAAGTTTAATTATTCCAACAATTATCGTCGAGGATCCAAACGAAAACCTTGTCAATCCTTTCACAATGGGCGAAATTAATCCAAGCACAAGCACAAGTAGTTCAACTGAAGGTCGCGAATCGATCGAAACAGATAACGTGACAAAGAGAAAAGTCCAGGAAGTAGCAAAAAAGTCAGCAAGTCGAATTCCAACTCGTTCTCATCTTTATTCTCCAATTCGAAGAAATTCGCTTGATAAAAAGTCAAAAATTATAACAAAACCAGCTATTCAGCGCCGAACAGTTTTTGAAACTCGCAGTGCTGCAGTTCAAAAACCAACAACCATTCAAAAGCCAAAACAACCAGTTAATCCTCCAGTCCAAAGTAAAATGGCAGTCCCGAAACCTGTGCTTCATAAGTGTACAAGTTCTGGCTGTCTTCGTGAATTTCATACCGTTAAATTATTGGAACAACATCTCAAATCGCACAATTCAGACTCGAGTTCAAGTTCATCTACTCACTCGACTTTCAAATGTAAATGGTGCGACAAGATATTTGAACGAAATAATGCTCTTACATTGCACATGATTGATAAATGCACAAAGATTACCTTTCCTGAGAAGCGTAAATTATTGGCACAGCAAGATAAGTCGAATCAAACTAATGATAATAAACGAAGAACTGTTTTTATGGCACCACCAGCACCAAAAAAGCGATCACCACGACGCATTACAACGCATAACAAATCTGGAATTATGATTACGCCCAAGAAAACTTTAAAATGTGAGTGTGGAAAAAAGTTTACGGACGTACTGGAATTTGCTAATCATACGGTTAGTTTGGTTTGGTTCTTATTAATATCTTTACTAATCCAAGATATTCAGAGGAATCTCGTGATACGCGAGGGCCCTCTTAGTATCTTGTACTAATCTCTAATTCATTAAGGAATCATTCATTATTGATGTCCATCATTCGATAGGTCTTTGATGAGTGAATGAATCCTAATTAAAACAATTGCAATGCTCATTAATAATAACAATAACTTATTCCTTAACAGATAACCCATAAGTATGAGAATGCATTGAAGCCCCAGCCAACATAAATTCAGTCGCTAAGCCACAGAAGAAGGTACAAATACAGAAATTTCTTCTCATTCTTTCAAAAAATCTTATATTTTTAGTAATGTAAAAACAATTTAAGCTAGTTTCTTCTTATACTTCGATATATGCTAAATTCACTTTCGTTTAATGTGATCAAAAAATAATAATAATAAAAAGATCCTATATTCTCATAATAAAAGCCATGTGAAAAGAATTTGCAAATTGACAATGACCCACTTTTCAGATGCAAGCAAGTACAAAGGTACATACAGCACATATATAGAGAAAAATCTCTATTCACCTTTCTATTTAAACAATTTCTTCCTTCTTTATTCTATGAAAATAATAATAATCATGACTTTACAAAGCCTATAAATGATCATTTGATATTTCTTCTTCTTAATTACTCGATTCCATTCATTTTTTTATTCCAGTGTATACGAAGTACCTCCTATAAATATCGAGAAGAAAGAAGTTAATGTGTCGTGTGCTGGACATAAATTTCTTAATATTCAATCAGACTCACTAGGAAGAGGCTATCAAGAGTGCCAAGAAATGGATGTTTACAACGCTTTTTGGTTCTTTTGAATTTGTAAAAATCAACGTCATTCTGAAATTCAAATTTTAACGGGTTTCAAAAATTCAAGTTTGTTCAAAAATTTGGTTTGAATTCCGAAAAGCCGTTAAAATTCAAATGTTTTCTGTACGTTACAGCAAAAATTTTAGTTCCTTTAATCAGTCATAGTGCTTAAAATTCATTGAGATAGTCAGTAAAAAGTAGCAAATACTGAGTGTTAATTGTTTCGCGGTAAAACAGAAAGAAATATATTACCAATTTGGTTGGCTATGAATAACCTTCCAAAAGGCATAAATCTTTTCATTTCCCAGACAATTGTCATGGGCGTAAGCCTTGGTAATGAATTAAGATGACCAGCTATTATGATCTGTCATAAAGATATTTTTCAATTTAAGTAAGTAACTGAAGAAAAGTACTCGATGAGAAGAGAAAACGCCACTTGTTGTTTCGGATGTGATGTATCTTGTCATGAGAGATCCGCCCGCTTATTACCATCATTTAGAAGATCGACAAACCATCATCATCATCTCAATGAAATATATTCAAAATGCTGTACAAAGTGAAATTTCAATTTTTTTGGCAGATGTGAACATAAAACATTAGGTAGCTCAATGGAAAGACACTTATTGACCCATAACAGAGCACTTTTACTTCCACGTGATTTCCCAGCTAATAGACGCATAATTTTCTTTTGAGTTGGTCGTTGCAAGAGATTTGTAGGATGTCAGGCACTTTGAGAGGTTAAAAAGGTGACTTTTGACATTTGTAGGCTGGGGGGCGTTCACAAATGATGAGATTCTGTCACAACTTTACATCCTTAATTTGGATGAAGATATCTTATTACTTCAGAACCCTCAAAATCTCTTGTAAATTAGTTCTATGGATTTAAAATCAGCACCCACTCAAAAAAGCGCCACAGTCACTCCATACAGCACCAGCGACCTGATTAACAGTATTATTTTTTTAATTTTTCGGTAATACTTTTCAGCTACAGATGATGACATTTATTTATTGTTGGTCAGTTTAATTTTCCGGCAATTTCAATAGCTGTGACTGACTATGGAATGGGAAAAATCTCTCTTTCATTACAAATGTCGTGCTGCTTTCTTGAATTTTTCAGATATTTAAACAATTTCACAAAAAGTGATTCCTGATGTGTGAGAGTTCTTTAGAGTTTAGTCAGCTTGTGGTCATTAATAAAATTATTTCATAGACAAAAACAAAGGTTCAAGACATTGAAAAAGAAATGAAGAAAACGTCTCAATCAACGCAATGAAATTAATGATGAGAATAACAAATGTAACAATTAAATAAGCTTCTTCCTTAAACACCTTTTAATGCTTAAATTAATGACCGTAAAACATTATCATTAAAGTAAAGAAATTGATATTCGCCAAAAAAAAAAATCATGAAAGTTAAACTGTGGTATTTAAGTCCGTAACAAATTTTAAATATGTCATATTGGTGAAAATTGTTGAGCTGATATATTTTACAGCTTAAAGTGTCACTATGACTGACCTCTTATATTACCGTTTTTTGAGATAGAAATTTAAACGGAATTTTGAAATTTGAATTTTTGAACTTCATTAAGCTTGAATTCAATTTTGTAGAAGTTCAAAATTTTAAATTTTAGAAATCTGTTTAAAAGACTAAGAAGTTACAACCAGCAACTTCAGATGCGTTACAACTACCCTGTTTTTTCGTTATAAGCTCCTACTTGTTACTAAGCTACTAGCTTAGTAAAGTTTTTTTGAACTTGAAATTTTTTTGTAATCTTTACTAAGCTACTACCAAAAATAAAGTATAATTAATCTTTTTCAACTTTCTAAGTATCAGTTTCAATGCCTTATGAAATTGTCAATGAAATAAAATCGTGAAGATAGCAAAATTTCTTTAATTAAGTTAAAAAATTCAAAATTTTCATTGAGGTTCAATTTCTTTACTAAGCTCCTACTCGTTACTAAGCTACTAGTGAACCAAAAAAATCACTTTTTTATTCTTCTAAGCTACTAGCTTATAACGAAAAAACAGGGTAAGCAGCTCTCGCAGTAATAACTTAATAATTACAAATTACTACAATCATCACGCTGTGCAATCTATCATGCGAAAAATAAATCCTAAGCTATTATGCTAGTAATATTATAATAAATCGTGATGAATTAGCTTTTTAACTGTTTTGAAGTGCTATCTACACCGAACATTATTGGATTAATACATGAAGAAGAATACATCATGATCCAAACTAAAATTTTATGTTTAATAAAACGCATCATTAACGGAATATTTCTCTTATCTCCTTCTGAACCTTCAACAATACTTGGTTATTATTGTTCTTACATTTTCCACTTTTACTTTATATGCACTGGGTGTTTCACATGGTACTCGAATCGATGAACTGTAGTATTTATTTAATAAAGAGGTATGAAGTGCTTTTGTTACGAGAAATTAGAGAAGTCTGTGCTGTATGTTTTGAATTTGAATGAGTAGCTTTCGAGTTTTTGGGAAATATTTTTAAAAATATATGATTTTAAATTTGTAACGGATTTTAAGTTTTTGAATTTTTTAAAAATTAATAATAATTTGATCCTCTCAGAACGTGTTTTATTTTTCAAATTTTTCAATAAAACCGATGTAAACACTGTAATTAATGGTTCTACAGAAGCATCAATCCACTCAGTTGGTATATAATTCACACAACTAGATTAAAATTCACATGCACCGTAAAGCTAATTTGCCCAAAAATACATATTCATGTCTAATTTTAAGATAATCATGATTTAGGTGATAACAATCCAACACGTTTGAGCATTAATTAACTACTCGGCATAGCTTATTTAATATGGAATAAGAAGACTATGAGAAAAATTCTCCAGTCATTCTCAGACCGTTGCAAAATAACAAGTAATTATCCATAAATTTTTTTAATGCTCAATACTGTTTATGACTTAAAAACAACCAAAAAAAAAGTCTGTGCCTCTCTCAAATCTCATCATCATCTTATGAATGTTAATTCTGAATGGGGGTGATTCGCTTATTAAGTAGGGAGAGGGGGTCTAAAATTTTGTAATTGTCTACAGAATTAATTAATTAATTTAATGGAGAATGGGGGGGGGGGGGGATTCAAAAAGTAATATTTCAGTTCCGTAATAAACAAACAGCTCCAATTTGGGAGAAAAGGCAAACAGAAGGTGAGCGCGAAAAGTGTGGAAAGCAAGAAGAAATGGTACGAAAAGAAAAAATGTGTATATTTTTGCATTTTCTGTTTATTGCTGCTCATTTCTGTTTCGGCTATCGACTGTTGAAGACGTTTAAATTGAATCGTGCCGGTTAAGTGCTTTCCAAGACGAAGTTATTGATAGAAAATTCTGTTATATCCATCGAGTTGCTTCTATGTACTATTATCTCGATATTATTGAGAAAAAAGAAAAGACACTAAGTGCGCTCATTCTATTAACTGTTTATACGAACCATTAAATTAAATAAGTGAAAAAAATGAAGTGGAACAAAAAGCTTATCATCCTCATAATTGTTATATTGTTTGTAATTTGTTTATGCGAGGCAAAGAAGCGAAGAATTCCATCACGTCTTAAAGTGAAGCAGCCACAAAAAAATAATATTAGAAATCCAAAATTGCCGAAGCTTAAAAGTCAGAAGCAATTATTGTATGAGACACGTGAGACTTCACCACCAAGTTTCGTGACCCTTCTACTCTTACGATTAGTTTATGGACTAGCTACTCAAATGGGATTCGAGGATAGACTTCCGGGCTTTTTATCACCACCAAATGCTGATGACGGAGATTATGGATTCTTTAGTGCACCATTTGGAGGTGGAGATGATGACTACGACTTGGGACTATAAAAAATTATCTTGTATTTAATTAATTTGCGCACTCAGGAACAGCGACATAATTCATTTAAATGAAAAAAATCATGAGAAAAAAAAGAGTTTTGTGTACAGAATTAAATTCGGGTTCGCTTCTTCAGCTCGAGAAAAAAAGAACCGTTTAAATCTTTTGTTTGATGATAATCTGTAAATTTACATTCTCTTAAAATAATAATTAAGCAACAACTGCAACCGATGATTGGTTTTACTTTTTGGGTTCTAAAGAAAAAGAGAAATTCAGTGTAAATTGTTTTTAATGGATTTTGGATTATTTGTTATCCAATTTTCTATTATTTTGAGCTAGATAAGTGAACCACATACTTATTGTTAAACGTGAAATTAGTGCTTCCTTATTTTTCAAACACTTACTATATAATTTTCATCGCCAATGGACGATTGAGTGAATTCTTTAAATGAAAATCAGCAACCTGATGTGCATGTCAAAATCGAACGGTTAAATTTAACTAATGTATATGTGTAATGAATGATAACAATCAAAATATATGCATGGGTTGTTCATTTATGACGTCTGATGAGATTACTGAACCTCCTCCCAACTGAGATACAAAAAAGTTTCTGTTTCTATAGAGTCACATGTACTCCCCTCCCCATTCCCAAATATTAGACGTCATAAGTGGAAAGCCTTAATATAGTTGGAGGAAATGGCACACTCCATAAGTCAAATTAGATTATTGATCGAAAGAAGTGCTTCATATTGAAATATTATTATAATTGGTAAAGACAATAACAGTACAAGTTATTTAAAAAAAATTGTTATTTTTATACACACGCCGCATATTATAGACGTGCGATCGACGCAAGAGCTTCATTCTACTTAACTCATCTGTTTAGCTGTTCAGAATAATGTAATGTAAGAAGAGAGCAGTTAAGTAAGAAATGATTGCCTCACATATGATTTGGTGTAAAATGAAAATGAAATTATGATATTAATGCACACTTATAAGGCATAGATCATTATCGAGGAAGAAGAATTAAATTAGGTTAAATTGTCTATTGAGTAAACACGTTATGTCAGAGATATATATCGTCAAGTATTTTTCTAGATTCCTGACAGAAGAATAGCCCGCTATATCAAGACAATAAGCTTTTCACATTGAAATTGTTCTCAGTAATGATCTTAACACGAAAAAAAGTAGGTACAAATGAGTCACAGAGCAAGTAAGCAAGAAAGTCAAAAGAAAAAGTTGACATTCAACAAATAAATTTAATCATGAAGACATCTGTCAGTTCCGTTCAAACTATTTCATTGTTTACATAAATTAATCTTTATAATTATGATTCATTTGCATAGTATTGAATTGACTTTGAATAAGTATGAAGAAAGTTTTGACATCAAATGTGCTAAGTGTAAACAAAAATTGATCGGTGTAGCTGACAAAATTTTAGCTAGAGTTATTGAAGTGCTCTGTTAAATGTAATTTATAATCCCAATTTTATCAGACTCTCTTAAAGGAACGACTCTGATTTGAATACAATGGTACGAACTTTTCACGTTGACTCTGTTTATTTCTATAAGTTATGCAGTTTTATCGTAAAACTGTTCTTTTTATGGCTTTTAAATGTGTCACTTGTCTTCTTCTTATGACGTTCTCTGAAGGCGTCAAATATTAATATTTTTTTTGCAATTTTAATTTTGTTGTTCTCGGTGAAAGATCATTCATCATTACTTTTTGCATGTTCTTTTACAGTTTGCATCTGTAACCATTATTTGACAATACATTTCAATGACTCTAAAATTCGAATGTTTTGTAAAAAATTTCAATTTTGACGTAAATACGAATGTTTTTGAGTTTACTACATACTGTTAATGTTTGACTATCTTTGTTGATGACTTTCCACTGACTAGTGGTTAGATTTTATGTGAAACGTGAAATTGTTAAAATATGAAATTTGATTGATGTAAGCAAAAAATCTTTGAGTTTGTACAGTTTCAATTTATGTTAACAATTCAAAGGTTCTGAAACATTTGAAAATTTAAGTTAAGTTGAATATCAATTAACCGAAACTCAGCATAAAACATAACAAATGATACTGTCAAAAGGAAAGACATTAACAGACCATAAAACAGCATGCATGGACAACATAATTTTTTCCATGAATTGCTCTTAATTGAATCTCACAGCGATGAGAAAATTTTCGAAACAAAATTAAGCATTATTTACGCATGTCTTTATGCATAAAATCATGTTAATGAATCTCCTATTAATTGGTCAAATTAACAACGTCAAGCATTTTTGGTTGTTTACATTTCTTCCGGATACATTTGAGTATTCATTCAATAATGCTGCTTTAATTTAAATGTCTGCTTTTAAATTATTGTTTTAGGGGCCGTTCACTTATTACGTTCGCATTTTAGGGGGGGGGGGGGTTTGAAAAATTGTAACAAAATGTAACATAGGGGGGGGGGGGGGGTGGTAGAAGTATGTAACGTTCTAAATGTCGTTCATCTTTTAAAAAAAAGTTCACGAAAAAAATTTGTTTACAAATTTACACCAAAAACATTTTTTTAAATTTTCCACCTTTTTAATGATTTATGAATGTCCAGATCACTTTTGTTAGCTAAGCAATACATAGTTTTTGTTATATAAAGTAACAAATCAATAGAATAGACTTTAAAATACAATCATAATTTGTGGAAATTTTCAAAATTTCAATCATAAGTTTAAAAATAAATCTCTCTAAATCTGTCATTCATATGATGATTAATATGATCCCATCATTGTGATATTTACATTCAAAGTAGATTGAATTTTCCAAAATTCGATCGGGCATAATATTTTTGAATTTTCTTCAAAAAAAAACAAATTTTTGCTTTATATCACAATCCAATAATTCATGAGAATACTAATAGTATCAATCAAAACATGACCTATTTAGCTGTATAGTATTTTGATAACCGTCTTTTTGTCTTTTTAGATTAAAAAATTATCAAAATAAAATAACGTTCAGGGGGGGGGGGGGGGGGTTGTGAGTTGTAACATATTGTAACAAAGAGGGGAGGGGGGGTGTGAATAAGGTCGTTTGTTTGCGTAACGTAATAAGTGAACGGCCCCTTAACACTTTATTTTCTTATTTGCCGTAATTTCTTAGTGCATTAAGCATGAGCCCTTTTCGGACGTGCTTATTTGTTTTTTTTTTTGATTCTCTAATTTAAATACATTATGCATTCAATAATCTCTTTATTATACACAAGAGGGTCGAATAGATCACGATAAATAAGCGCTTCTCACCTTACAAGACAGAGAAAGCCTCACAAAAAACATGCTAATTATGCTAATGAATTTATTTCTTGGGAATGAAAGTGAAATTGATACCTTCTTCCTGTTTATCTGACTAAATGCAAAATTTTGCAAAATATGAGATACTTTTTGAAGATACCAAGTTACATCCTGGACAATATCTTTTAAGACTTAATTTTTATGTGTTAATCGGACTCGTAAAATAACATTTTATAGTTTTCGAAACTTAATTGATAACTGACAAGCGCCATGCAAATATTTAATTAAACTTCATTTTAATTTGATAACCATTTATATTGAATTAATACAAAGAAATATTTGGGTTAACATGAACTGAAGAATGCGTTTACTTTCTTGTACACAACTTATTTCATTTCTTTGCAAAATATGTGAGTTTTCTTTTTGAAAGATAGTCGATTGTACAGAATGGGATGTCTTATAGAGCTAGTATCGAAATTATTATTTTTATAAGTCGTTTTGAATTTGAAATTTCTTTTTTTGACAATTTCAAATTTGAATAAGCCGTTAATATTTCAAATTGATTTTCTTGCTTCACCAAAAGACCCAAGATGTTTCAAATACTTTCTAATAAAACAGAATAATTATTGATTACAGTACATACACCTTGATAAGATCGCACGTCGATAATTTTACAAGATTTCACATTACCAAGAAGTGAAAATCATATTTCAAAGAAACGCGTGATGATGGAACTTAGCGAAAATTAAATTATTTAAATGTTATTAGGATTAACAGACATGAGGTGCTCTTTTATTTATTTATTGTATTTTAAAAAGAGAAAAAAAAAGTTGTAATTTAAATAATTTATTAATAAACGAGATTGAATAGTTAAATTTGTGAATATAAATTGATGTTTTCTATTTTTTTGTTGCCAAAAATTTACCATTTTACCATAATCGAGATTAATGATGTCCAATAGAATTCCCAGCATATATGCTGGCAATAAAATATTTGCAGAATTTCTTTTTACTTTCTATTTTGTTGTTCCGGAAGAAAGGAAAATTTCAAGAGTAAGGTTGATGCTGGAAATTACCTAACGATGTATATGGAACTCTTTAGTCACGAGCAGCTGTAATCTTTAAAGCATGCTCAATTACAGAAAATACGTGTTTCTGTTTTTCACAACAATAAAAGTTTAATGAGATTTAATTTGTTTGTTATTTATTTCTTACATGATTTATGAGTTTATGCTTCTCGAGGAGTTCTCATAAATCACAAAATCTTTTATTTTGCCATTAATCAGCGATACTTATGATGCCGGTAGCTAAATCTAGCCATTAATCAAACAAGACTGATTGAAATCCACGAGAAGCACAGCTTAGTCTTAATTTCTACTGTTTAAATTTCCCTTTATCAGCCAGTGTTCTCGTCCTTCGTCTCGAATAATGTTGCCATAATAGAATTGACTGATCATCAATGAATTTACAGCACTGAGCACTAACAATTTTCCTTCTAAATTCTTCACTTTGTAACAGGTCGAGGAAGTAGAGACACATTGGATATTTAATAAATTTAGCATATTCTGGCTTTTTCCAATACTGCAGGTAATTCAGGTAGTTCACAAATGCTGGATCCTTGAAGTAATCACGTTGTGCAAGAACTGTTGATAGACATGGGAAGAAAGTGGTCAAAATGAAAGTAGAAATAAGCACAAATGAATCAGCTACATACAGTGCAAATAATTGGGATTCGACAGGCATTGAATAAATTCTAGTTCCACTTGAAATCTCATACGCTGCTGCTCATCACTCTCCAGATTTTGTAATGCTAAATAACAAACGAAACGGAAACATTTGAGACTCAAAATGTTGTTAATTTATTCTTGAGTGGATCTTGTACATCACACTCGTCTGATTATCATTGATGAGTAATGAGTTAAAATAATAAAAGTTGACATAAATAGTAAATTTTTTTGGAATAGCACACAACAGAAAAAGAGAAATTGACCATTACCAAATTAATTAAACACAATTATTATTTTTGGATATACATATTTCACTTATTCTCATATTGTATTATTTTTTTTTTGTAATGAAAATATCAATAAAATATAGTAGAATTAAAGTTTACTCACGATCCTTTGCCTTGTTTGTTCCTTTCTTATTAGCCATTACTTATAAAATATCAATTTACAAAAGGGACAGTTTTTTTGGAGGGTTTCTAAAGATTGTAGGTGGTAAATTTTGTTGGAATGACAGTGCAAGAATTGATATAATATTAATTATCTCAATCAATTTAAGGGATGTAATAGAAAATGGTCTGGAAGTGCGAGTATTTACAACAAGACAAACATCCAGTGAAAAATAAATATATATAAATGTATTGGAAAATAAGAGTGAATAAAGATGTCCTTAACACAATTTGTACTTTAAAATGTTCGTGATAAGATTTAAACAAAAATATCCTTCCTCTATTATAGATTAATTAAGTATTTTTAAAACCATAAACAAAACTTTTCTAAGCACTAGTTTTTTGTCTAAAAAGAATACAAAAATGTGTCTTGAATGTGTCCACTGAATGATAATAAGCTTAACTATCACTTACAATTAAAGTGTGACATTTATTGAGTCTAGAAAACTATTAATTAATCAAAAACTTATTTTGTTTGAGATTTATTTATTTTTTCGATTGAATTCAACTTCACGATTGTTTACATTTGTCGTGTGAAAGTTACCTAATATTTTTGAAATTATTTTTTTCGTTAAATACGTAGTCATCTATAATTGTTTTAATATTATTGAGGTCGGCTTAGATTGTGTAATATTACCCGTTAATGAAATTATCAGCAAACAGTCGATAAATGTAGAATTTATTGAAAACCAAGAGTTCGATGAATTCATTATTTCCAAGAATCAGCATTTTACAAAAACAAAACAACTTTTCAAACCGAAGACTCCTTTATTTATTAAAAAATTCAAGAAAAAAAATCATTGAACAAAATAAAGTAATTAATAGACGTTAATAAACCTTTAATCCACTACAAAACATTGTGATAAAGCTATAGTAATAGATTAACAGTCTTCAGCAAGCTGCATAAATGTGAAAAATAGTAAAATTATCAAAGTGCTTTGTCTGTGTTTTATATGACATTCAAAAAAATTAAATTAACTTCCTGATTTTGTCATTAAACCTTAAAACTTCCTTAAACAATCATGTCTGAATCTACGGTTGCACCGTTGATTAAAATCGGACATTATACGCTGGGAAGAACGCTTGGCAGTGAGTATTTGTCAATATAAATTACTATTACGACGTAAATAAATTATTTTTTAACTCTATCAAATTAGATGGAACTTTTGGAAAAGTAAAAATTGGAGAACATATTGTGACTAAGCATAAAGTCGCAATTAAAATCCTAAATCGTCAGAAGATAAAGAGCCTTGATGTTGTGGGTAAGATAAGACGTGAGATCCAAAATCTCAAACTGTTCAGGCACCCGCATATTATTAAACTGTATCAAGTGATATCAACGCCTTCCGACATTTTTATGATTATGGAGTTTGTAAGTGGCGGTGAACTATTTGATTATATTGTAAAGCAAGGAAAGCTACAAGAATCTGAAGCTCGAAAGTTTTTCCAACAAATCATCTCCGGTGTCGACTATTGTCATCGTCACATGATTGTTCATCGCGATTTGAAGCCAGAAAATCTTCTACTTGATCACAATATGCATGTCAAAATTGCTGATTTTGGGCTTAGTAATATGATGGTAAATTAAATTTGTTGTTACTTTATGCATGTACACGCTGACTAATTTACATTCTCATGCTTACTTTTTTGTTTACATAGTTGGACGGAGAATTTTTGTAAGTATACGCACATTCATTAATATGACCTAAATGTTATTCTCATGCTTAATTGTTTTTCATTGAATACAATAGACGAACATCATGTGGATCTCCAAATTACGCAGCTCCAGAAGTTATTTCTGGAAAATTATATGCTGGACCTGAAGTAAACTATACATTAATAATGATATACTTATCCTATAATTAATGGTCTAACTTCTATTCAAGGTTGATATTTGGTCATGCGGTGTTATCCTTTATGCTTTACTTTGTGGATCTTTGCCATTTGATGACGAACATGTTCCAACGTAAGAAACTCACGTTTTAAGCGTAAATCTCATATTAATCATTTTTTTAATTAAACTTTGAAGGCTATTCCGTAAAATCAAAAGTGGAATCTTTCCAATCCCAGAATATTTAAATAAGCAAGTCGTGTCATTATTATGTCAAATGCTTCAAGTAGATCCACTTAAACGGGCAACAGTCGAAGAAATTAAGAAGCATGAATGGTTCCAAAAAGATTTACCTGCATATCTTTTTCCATCGCCTGTTGAACAAGATTCATCACTTATAGACATGGGAGCGATTTCAGAAGTTTGTGAAAAATTCGGTGTAAAGGAAATGGAAGTTCATAATGCTTTATTATCTGGTGATCCACACGATCAATTAGCTATTGCTTATCATTTAATCATCGATAATAGAAGAATGGATGAAGCTGCTAAAGCAGAAATTAAAGATTTTTATGTTGCATCATCGCCGCCTCCACAACCAATCGTAGTTCCTCAACCCGTACATCATCAAAATAGCGATCCATCTAAACCACATCCAGAACGTATTGCGCCATTACGTGATAGAGCAATGAATATCCAGTCATCAAGCTATCCAACAGAAGGAAGTACCGTGTCATCAGATCGTGCAGCAGTTATACAAGAAAAGTATCGAGGAACACCAGTTAAACGTGCAAAATGGCATTTAGGAATTCGGTCACAAAGCAAGCCGAATGATATTATGTTGGAGGTTTATCGTGCAATGAAGGCTTTAGATTATGAATGGAAGGTCATCAATCCATACCACGTGCGAGTACGTAAGAAGAATAAAGAAGACCGATATGTTAAAATGTCATTGCAACTTTATCAAGTAAGTATCATAAATATTTATGCATAAAATTAATTACATGCATATGCTTAATGGTACAATTATTTCTACTAGGTCGATCCAAAGTCATATCTTGTTGATTTTAAGAGCCTTACAAACGAAGAAGTAGAACAAAGTGACGATATGATTAGCTTGACACCACCAATAGCTGGACAGCAGCAAATTATTACTCCACCACAAATTTCAGGACATCATACTATGGAGTTCTTTGAAATGTGTGCATCTTTAATTATCCAATTAGCTCGTTAAAAATATGGTATTTTCTTGTTATTGTTTTAAAAGCTTAAAAATTGGAACTGAAATGTTTTTGAAAAGCTATTTATTGATATGACTCGATTCGATTGATTGTGCTAGAAAACCCTACAAAAGTCTAATTATAATTTGTAGGGTTTTCGCTTCAACAACTCAATTTGTAAGGTTTTTATGAATTTGGACTTTTTAAATGACTTCTTTTCCGCAAAAGTATAAAAAATTTAGTGACTTTTTGTGTTGTAGATGATACTTATGTGACCATTAATATCCAATTAAACTATCTGTATAATAAATGCATAAAAAATTGAATTTAAATTGTTAATAATTTATTTTACAGTACAAACCCAAGTTTTCAGAAAATATTCGTCAAGTTCAGAAATTACATTTCTATTATTCAAGTAAATAGCAATAATCCATGAATTGTCAGCTTAACTAATAAGTTGACATGACCCAAGAGATGACACACATTAAGGAATTTCCAAGCAAATTTTATTGCAAAATTAACAGCATCCAAGGAGTATAATTAACTTTAATAGCAAATTTGATCATGATTAGCGCACGACACGTGTTGTATATAGAACACTGATTGATCTTATGTTTCATCTCATGCACAAATTGTAACAAAACTCGTTTGTATTCCAAGATCGATTGTCTATATAAAATTAAATTTTCTCTCCTTATTTCTCAGCTACGATATCAGTCTTAAACGTGACTTCAACTTATTAACAGTCGTGCGAGTGATTAGTGTCTGGAAAAATCATATTTATAAATAAGTTGAAACTGCAATTTGTATTAGAATTATAAGAAATTAACGGAACTGACAAAAATTTGTGCTCCAAAAGTCAGAAGATCCTTGAAATTTTCCATACATAACAGCACCATAAAGGTGATAAACATGTAAAATCATACTTGAAAGAAACATTCAAGATATTTCCATAAAACATGATTTAAACAATAAAATTAATGGCTTAAAAGTGTCATTTTTTCCGATCTTCTTCAATTCCTTTTATTCGAGCCATCGATTCATATTATATTCAAATACAGCATTAATTAATGCATATTTAACATGTAACATTGTAAAATCAAAACAAAATCAATTTTTCGCATGCCTGCTCACCTTGATCTTGCCATTGATTTCCACTTCTACATCAATATTTTATGACAATAATCATCCGATTATCTATTATCAAGTAGCGGTCATGCTTGCTTGAGTTTTCACACCAAATATTTGATTTGTCTGGATCTTTAAAAATTAATGTTTTCATTTTAGGGTCGTTATTTTTATCACCTGATTGAGAGACAGTGAATCATGAAGTTTAATGTTTTATTTATCATCATTGTCACGTGTTTTTTAATGAACAAGGAATGCAAAGCACAAGTTACATTCCTAGATGCTCCAATTTTAAGGCCAATGTTTAGAGTACTTAGGAACTTTTTCTTTGACTTTACTAGATCACATTCGGATGAGCAGGTTCAACGAATCACGAGGAGTTTGGGTGTATGTTTTATTGATTAACATACTTTAAAATTAAGTATGTACAAACTTCTCTGTTTTTTTTCTGTCAGAAACTCCAAAAAACATTCAGCCCAAATGAACCATTCTTTTGTGATACAAATGGACCTGGCCGTAGAAGTAACGAAACTCCAACATCAGTACATAAACTCAAGCCAGGAGATATAGATATAATTGCTGCAATTGGCGATTCTTTAACAGCAGGAAATGGTAAATACATCTATTTCTGCTGCTACTATGCAGCATAAATGACGATTATAAAATCAATATATCCACAGGGGCGTTAGCAACAAATACTTTGCAAGTTACACTTGAATATAAAGGCAATTAAATATATGCATATTTTGTTAAGGACAAGTCACATACCTATATGCAATTTATTTCACACTTAGGCGTTGCATTCTCAATTGGAGGCGAGAAAACATGGAGAGAATATCTAACAATTCCAAACATCTTAAAAGAATACAATCCGAATCTTTACGGCTATTCAGAGTCAATTGGCTTATCAATTCATAAAACCTCAAAATTTAATGTCGCTGAACTTGGTAGTATGAGCAGGGATATGCCACACATGACAAAAGTATTAATACAGAGAATGTTAACGGATAAAAATGTAAAGCCGCATCACTGGAAGGTTAAATAAATCTATAAATATTCATGCTATGTTATCTGATCTATTTAATGTCTTTCCAGTTGATCACATTTCTTATTGGATCAAACGATTTCTGCCTGGACATGTGTTATCATCAGAACCCTACAGAAATTATTAAACAACATGAACAGGACCTCCTTAAAGTCTTTCGACTAATCAGAGATAATATACCTAGAGTAATGCTTAACGTTGTTCCGCCACCAAGTAAGTGTTCACACGTGCTACAGCCAACAACATTAATTATGCTTTCTGTTTCAGGTGTGCAAATTCTAGTGGAATTTACAGGAAAAAGTGCTGAATGTGAATCTGTGCATCACTTTGGTATAATACCTTGATTCATATGATTTTGTGTCATTATATGCTAATTATGCTTTCAGAATGTCCATGCTTCTTCGGTCTGAAATACCATAAACATAAGCAGCTTTATTATCAAATTATGCAGGAATGGACAGAAGTTTTGATAAGAACCGCAAATCGGGATGAGTTTAATCGAGATGACTTTACTATTAATATTCAACCATTTACTAGAAAATTAAAATTTCCCATTTCTAAAGGAGTCACTGATTATTCCTACATGTCATTTGATTGCTTTCATCTGTCACAAAAAGGATATGCTTTAGCGACAACGGCACTTTGGAATAATATGCTTCAAAAAGATGGTCAAAAATCAAACAATTGGGATTGGAAAAATCCATTTAATTTATTATGTCCTACACAAAATTTTCCGTACCTAGCAACAAAACGGAACTAGAAATAAATAAAACCGTTAAAATTCAAAAAATTAGCACTTTTTTAGAACAAATTCTTAAAAGTTAACATTGAAATAATTTCTTTAATTACAGTGAAATTATGAATGTTTTGAGACATTTAAATATACTAAGAGGGTTAAAAACATACACAAATCTTCAAGCATTAGCAGCAAGTAGATGTCAAGAGACTGTTGTATCAAATCAGCACAAATTTCTTCTCACAAAACCGATATTGAATGAAAATTATTTATTGGATGTGACAAATGTCGATAGAATCAATGAAAACATACAACAGAGAAAAGGAGTTGGTGATATTTACACCGTTCATGACATCAACAATAAGCTTAAAGATAATTCATTAGATCCAGACACAAGAAAATCGCTAGAAATTCAATTACAAGAAGAGATGAGAAAAATTCCAAATGACACACATCCAGAAGTTAGAAATTACGGAGAGGAACCAAAGGCTGTAAAATATTACAATGAGGAACCTTCATTCAAACATAAACCATTAGAATTTTCTGAAATTTGTAAGAAATTGAATCTTTTACGAACTGATCATCTTGGAAACTTTTCTGGGCACAAAACTTACTATTTGATGCACGATTTAGCTGAACTGGTAAGCAAATAAATCTCTAATGTATCACAGTAGCTAATAATTATTATTCTAGGAACAAGCACTAATAAGATACACAGTTAAAGAGATATTAAGTCATGGATTCAAGCTTACATCAGTTCCAGACATTTTACCAGCCAAAGTTATTCAATCGTGTGGAATGCAGACAGAAGGTGAAAGAAATCAAATCTATAAATTAATTCCATCAAATCTGTGTCTGTCTGGAACTTCAGAATTGGCACTTGCTGGATATTTTGCTGGAACTAATTCGACGAGAAATAAAATGCCAATTAAAGTGGCAGCAGTAAGTCGCTGTTTTAGAGCGGAAACGTCTGGATTGAATGAGGAAAAAGGCATTTATAGAGTACATCAATTCACAAAAGTTGAAATGTTTTCAGTATGTCATTCATCACAATCAGAAGCCATGCTTGATGAATTCAAAAATATCGAAATTAATTTATTCAATAAACTTGGCCTTCACTTTAAGCTTCTTGATATGCCACCGCACGAATTAGGTGCGCCAGCATATAGGAAGTATGATATTGAGACATGGATGCCAGGCAGAAAAATGTGGGGAGAAATTTCAAGCTGTAGCAATTGTACTGATTATCAATCGAGACGACTTAATATAAAAGTTGATGATGAGTTTGCTCATACAGTTAATGGCACAGCATGTGCAGTTCCTCGAATGTTAATTGCTCTGATTGAGACATTTCAAAAGGAAGACGGTACAATTCCAATTCCAAAAGAATTAAGGCCCTACATGAAGAAGGATAAAATATCGAGACAGAAAATTTTGCCAGAATTAAAATTAATTAAGCATGCTATCAAGTAGTGAGTATAAGTCCTATGGATGTATAAAGAAAGTTTATTATTTTCTTGTGCATCGTAAAGTTTGACAAAAATATGCATTCATAAAAATAATAAAATTAAAATTATGTAGGAACAAAAGATGTAAAGATGTAAAAAAAACCAATTAATTTTCTCAAAAAACTATGAAATGGAAAGACATGAGACGCAAGGTAAGGAATTTAACTTTTTTTTCTACTAGTTCCGATAGTTTCTCTTCAGCCTCGCGATTTTTATGTTAAATGATGCGCGAAAAAAAATATAAAAAAGATTTATTCGTCGTTGATTTGTTCTATTATTTATGACGACGGCAGCAGTTTTGTATTGTTGCTGGTGATTATGGATAGGGAATAATAAGAAGCTTTAAAATTGCGATGATGGAAATATTTTTTTTTAATTTGTGTAAGAACAATAGAAATATTGTTTTTACGGGCGTGGTTTGATTGTCTTATGCACGGGAGGTGGAATTTTTGTAAATCCATGTGTATCAAAAACTGGCAATAATTCTCGAACACGTCCGGGAATCGAGCCATCAACCAATCGGCTGAAATGATTAGTAGGCAAGATTAATAATGGATTTATGGGGTATTTTTTTACTACTTACGTTCCCTTCTTAGTTGCAATTTTTGCTGCATTAGCTGGAAGATTAGCTTCCGTTGGGAAGAATGTGGCACCATAGAAATCTAATCCATTTTGTAATAAGTAATTGTATTCTTCTAATGATGCAAGAGTAATTCGAATTGGTGCTGGTGGAGCTTCAATCTTATTTGCGACATCCTGCTCATCAATCTTTGGTGCTACTTTCTTTAAGCTTGGTGTTAGCATTCCTGCATTTTGGGATTGATATGCTTTGAAAACAAATAGAATCAAGTTGGAACTGAGTACTTACCACTAGGATTAGGGTCTGCCTCGTTATTCTTGTAAAACACGACAAGCCTAACAACTTCGACAACGGAATTAAATTTATACAATGAATGTCGTATGTCTTCTTCAGGTAGATCATCGGGCACATCAAATACATAGAGAGTAAATGTCTTTTGTGGGCGACATGGGATCGCAACCTGATCGAGAGAATTGTCCAAGTGTATTTGACAACGATACACCTCAATTGGCTTCACTTTAACTAAAATTAAATGACAATATGTTGACTTACCTTTTTGTAAAATCTTGCGCCAGTAACTTTATGAAAACCTTTTTTGAAAACAATCTGGTAGTCTTCAGGATGAGAGAATTTAAATAAAATTCCAGTTGCCGTTTTCGTAAGACTAAAGCATCCCTTAAAGTTCATCTTCTCGCAAATCATCGCTGCACGATCCATTGTTAACTCGTGAGATGGTGTCAATAGGAAGGCACCTTTAGCAAGAAATTGTCCAGAATCAGATATTTCCGAGTCTGTATCGTCATTATTCTGTTTATCATTCCACATGTTTTGTTGTTGAAGTTTTGATGATTCCATTGCTTTGGTCATTAAATTGCTTGAACTGCGTTGACGTCGAAAGTCAGCCAAATTTGCTGGCTTATCTTGCTCGGCATCAGAACCAATATAACTCATATCTACTTTCTAAACTAAGTATTGACACCACTTCCAACAAACTGATTAATTTTTAATAATCCAGATTTTAAGCTACCGATGATTCGCGTATGACTGAAAGAACAATAGTTGAGGATGATTTCTTTTATAGTCAATTTATGTAATGCGAATATGTGATCAGGAGCGTCTTCAAATGAGAAAATATCAATTGCAATGTGCTTACGTATTGAAAAGAATTCGCATCTGCCCATAATTCACTCATGAGTACACGTAAAATCTCATTCATGACAACAAATTTCTGTGCAATGTCTCAGTTCGTCGTGCTTATTCGTTGTGGTTCATTTACTTCGACATATTGGGCGAAGAAATGTTTTTTTTTTTTTTATTTTTGTATTAAGCAGTTCTAAGTATAACAATTGAAAACTTATAACCAAATTTATTACATATTATGTCAAAATATTCTAGCACACATACAATTTCATTGTTACTGCTCACTGACACGATGTGATTTTTTCTTTTTATAAATTAATTTTAATTGATTTCTTATAGCTAAATACACTTATTGAGGAATCTTAATGATCTAATTTCGTATAAATTATGATATTGTTCATGCTCTGATCACTAGTAGAGGTCAATTTTCTCGTATGATATTCGCGTAGGCTTTTTCTTCATTGGATTTATGAATACGTCCATCATAAATGCAATCAGTGCAGCAAAACATAGTAAGACGACTATAAAAGTCGTTATCCAAATCACTTCTATCCAAATGTGAGCGTTTTCCATTTTTCTGGTGCTTAAAACTGATTTGTTTAGGATGTGAAAAGTATGTCCACAAACTTTCGACTAACTTGCTATGAATAAATGTGTAGTATCAGCAGTGCTTATCTTATCACAATTAGATAACTTATTATCACGTGTGTTGAAACCCAGACTGCATTTTTGCGAGTTTAAAGTGAGCTGTGAAATGTTGGTTGTTTGTGAGTGTGCAGTTGTGTAAATAAATAGACCTTTCTTATCAGCTTATCGTTGAAACTTTAAAGATATTGATCAATTTTGTTGCAAAAGGGGATCTTGTTTTATATAGATGAATCTGTCAGTGTAAAAGTAAGGTTTCTGTTATCGAGCAATACATTGAAATTGAAAAAATGTAAGGCTGTTTATATTTTGATCATTTGCTTTTAATATAAACAAAATATACAAAATATTGGTTTAATCAAGGTCCTTAGTATTTAATCAGATGGTTGAATTTCTATATTTGCTACGCAGAACTGTCTTTCAATAGATGAAGTAAAATAATTTTGAGGCATTCTTGCAAACCACATTTTGTTTTAATCTTTAGATTAAAATTTACATTTCTTAAATTTTCTGCTTTACATAAAAAAATGAATTCTTCAGGCTACACCTTCTAATTATTCAGACATAAATAGTTTAAAAAGAGTTGACGACAAGAATTTTATCAGAATTTAATGAAAATATTTATTAAAACTATAGGCATCATTATAGCAATAATCTTAGCACTAAAAATAGAGCTGGCACTTCCTGGTCTCGGCATTGGTGGTCTCGGTTTGTAGCGCTGATCTTCAGTATCTTCCACATTTAAACTAGAAGGTTTAATCCCGTCACTTAGTTTTAATTCATTTCCATTGTCATTAGTCACATTCAAATTGATATCATTGTTGACAGTTTTTGGATGGAAGTAAACCACCTTAGCATCAATTATGGAGACTGTAAGAACAGCTATTAAAATTCTGAAAGTAAAGAACTGAATTCTAAAGTTTCTAAAATAAAAAAATATTTCTTACTTAAGATACATTGAATTAATAAGTCGGTTTAATTGCTGCCAATAAATTGTATAAATGCTCGTTTTCTGTAAGCTGAATGACTTTACATTTTTCTAAATTCACACATTTTATTCCATTTTGTGACTGATAAAGACGTAAGAGAATTCCCTGATAAGTATAAATGCGTCAATGGTTTTGTTTTGAAGCCACAAAAATTAAAAATAATTTGATAACAAAAGCGTATTATCGACTTAGTTATCCATCACTGTTGGCAGTGTATACAAACTCATATTAACGAACTTATGAGTTCTAAAGCTCGTAAAGTTTATAGTTGATAATTAATGATTTTGCCTAATTATTATTTTTTGTAGCATAATTAAGCAGACAAAATTTATTTTCAAAGTATGATTTAATGTGTGATGATTTACTAATTTCTAATTAAAATGCCAACAAAGATAATTGGAAATATGAATGCGACTAATCTGTTGCTGAATAAAACAGAAGCGCTATTGGGGGGTCTCGGTGGTGGAGGGTTTGGTGGTCTTCTAAACATTTCAATTTCTACGATTTCTTCAATTTTCGGTATATTTTCTTCAGCATCGATATCTTTCAATGATGAATTGTTGTCAATGACTTGTGCGCTTATCTTGACTTCTTGACCATGAGCCAGTATCAAACATGCTAAAGCTAGAAAACTAAAAGTTTCGATATTTTTCATTCATTATTTGTTTAAGAATCATTAATCCTACATAATCCGCATATCTCAGGAGTTGTTTCTAAACGTCACTGACTGTCCAAATTCTATTCGACCAACGGACTGAAACGATTTTTTGGTTTTCTTCACGTTTTATTCAATTAAAGCTTTGTTTGATAAGATCAGGAAGGATTTCATTGATAAGAAAGAACGTAAAGAAAATTAGAGATAATAAATCGAAGTTGCATGCAGAAATATGTCAACTAATATTTGGACAATATTCTATCTACTGATTTACTATCTCTGATAAGAGGACGTACTCAGATTGGCTTTATTACTAAAAGTCAACAAAATAATCTTTTCTGATCTTAAAATATTTATTAAAAAGCTTTCAATGGCTCTTTCAAAAAAGCAGCTTAAAAAGCTTTTGGAAAGTGCTGAAGTTGATTTACTGAACTGTAAACTTCATCATTAAAAATATAAATTCCGACTCAGAATCTCGAACAAAATTGTATGTATTACATAAAACTTGTCAACATCAGTAATGACTGTATTTTGTGTATAAAACTAATTGTAAGCTTTTCATAACAATTTCAAATTTAAAAGCTTTTTTTATTCAACCTTTTATAAAAAAAAAATGAAAATCAAAACTTAATTTGTGAGGATTTATTTGTCTGATGGTACATAAGCTTCTAAGAAGTCAGCCATTACTTTTCCAGCCTTATTTGGGAAGACTCTAAATACACGATTAAGATGAATCAAATGTCTTGGAATGCTAAGTTCCTCGATTCCTTTTCTTTGTGCTGAAATAATTGATGCTGCTGCACTTTCCGGCTCTACTGCTGGCATTAGCTTCTCAAATCGAATTTTCATTGACTTGCAGAGTCCGGTGTCAACCATATATGGATAGATTGTTGTGAACTTTATCTACAATTTATTAATTTAATAACGTTAATTAACGAGCTAAAACATTAGTCATAATTCCTCAGTGAATAGAAACAGTCGGCAATCTAGAAAAAATTTAAATCTTTGAAACTCCTAAGAACTGTTATTTTACCTGTGATTCTCCTTTTGAAGACGTCCTAAGTTCCTCAGAAAGAGCTTCTTGAATTCCACGAACAGCAAATTTCGAGCCACAATATGGCACTAAATTACGTAAACCCAAAATGCCAGCCATTGATGAAAGAGCTACGATGTGTCCCTTGTTGTTTGCAATCATTTTTGGCAAGAAGGCTTCAAACATCCAAAAGTGGGCGAAAACATTAACTTCGAAGATTGTTCGGATCTCATTTTCTGTGTGCTTGAGAAGCTCATGCTGTGGCATAATTCCTGCATTGTTTACTAAAATCGTGACATCTCCAACATCTTTCAATACTTTGTTGCCAGCTTCTAAGACTTTCTCTCGGTTCGTGACATCAACACTAAAATAAATTGATAAGAAAGTTTGTTTTGTGATAAGTTGACTATTTTAAGAATGGGTTTCCTAGCAAGAAGGGACTTTGGAATTTGACTGAGCACAATCTGATAATTGTAATCCTAGAATGTGATAAGTTCATAGTAAATTATCTTCGTTGTTTTTAAATATTAAGTATGTGCAGTCGACACAAATCAGCTCTTAAAGAGAAGAAAAATAGAGTTCTGTTTGATAAGATAACCGTCCTTACGTGAAGCCATAAGCTTTTTTGCCTTTGGACTTGATTAATTTAACAGTATCAAGGTTCAATTGTTCGTTAATATCCCAGCATACAACTGTTGCTCCGAGTTCAGAATATTGAACAGCTATTTGTCTTCCAATACCATGACCAGCTCCAGTAACTAGCACAATATCACCCTTTACACTACGTTCTTCTGTTGTGAATGTTTTATAGTATGATTCAAATACGAGGAACCAGAATTTGCCTATAGTGTAAAATACTTCAACTATGAGACATAGCACATTATAGATGATCATAAGAAAGTTGTCAGATCTACAAAAAATTTTTTTTGAATAAGTCACAATTAATATAATTGGTTGACAAAAGAATATTTACGGTTCAGCCATTTTGATGATGCCAACAATCTGTGTTCCACACTAGCCGATTGCTAAATCGTAACTGATGTTTTCATGAGAGTTATTCTCGCAGAATTTTTTTTTTAAAAAAAGGTTATCACTTTTTTGCTGATAACAAAATACCTAAGTGCTGTTTAAAAACAAACTCTCTCTTGTTTAGTCTACTGCTCCTTCTTCTCTCTAGATGCATGCTAGTATGTTTCGAAAAACACTCACCTGAAGTTTTCAGAACTTTTTTTTTTCTATTTTAATTCAGTCATCATTAAAAAATAATTGCGTAACTTTTGGAATATTAAAATGTTTCTGTATCGAAGTTTTTATCTATCTGTATTTGTATAGATCTATTTTTCCACAGCTAAAAAATTCAATGTCATTACAGGTGTATTGATAAAATTATGATTAGATGAGGGGAAAATTTCAAAATTTTAAAAACAAAATGTATCAAATAATTAAGATTTATAAAGCATGAAATTTCCTACAAATTATGTGCATAATGGAAAATTTGTTGTAGATTGGTATTTCCATCAAGTTTTGGTATGCTCAAATTTACATGATGATTTGCAATTTATATCTATGAAATATAAACAATTGATGAATGATTTAAAATCTAATTGATGAGAATAATTTGATGTGGGTGAACGCAATTGATTTCAGACGAGTTTTCCCGCCTTTTATAATACTATTAGAAACGAGTTATTGTGCCATGTTTACATCGTTAACGAATCGATCCATCCAAACTGATTTTCTAGATGAAAAGACTCTCTTAATTGGTCAGAATTTACTCTTTGGTATCCCTAACCTCATGAATATATGAAAATCTCGTGGGATAACATTTGAGTAAATAGGAAAGTTGGAGAACTTGTGGTAATTTATTAAAAGCTCTTAAAAAAGTTCAAGTTTAAATAAATTTTATTTCAATAATCTTTTTCTTCATTCTAATTTACAAAGGAATCACAAAAACATATAATTTAAAATTTATCATAGTTGTGCATGTTACTTTATAATGAATATTTTATGTATGATCCTTTATGACAAGCTCATTCTACATTTGTGTACTTCAAAGTGTTTAAAAAAGGATATTCCTTAGAGTAATGAAAAGTTAACTTCATCATTTTTGTTCTTTGACTGAACTTAATATTCCAAAAATATATTTTTCCATATCTACTAACTTATTGCAGCTCGAAATTTTTGTTTTAACGTTAAAAGTGTACAATGATGTACAATAAATATCTGTTCTGGACATCACATTTGATTTCTTACATGCTATGGATTTGTGAACGTGTAATTTATAATTATTACAGCTAAGAGTGCTATAAAGAATCCAATTAATTACGTTGAACAATGAGCTTTATCACATTTAGGTTATATGCTGATAATGCAACTCCATAAATATCTATAAAGTGCATTCTGCTGAAATGCACTCCATATTGTCCATTATAATGGAACGATTTAATGAGATTAAACTGAAGCTTATCTCTTCTAACAGATGCTTTAAATTCACATTCATTATTTTGATTAAAGAACAAAAGCTAGCTTGAACTTCCTAGATCTGATTGCTGTTTAAATCCTGATGTCGTTTCCACTTCTCATACGCAATGTAACATAATGATATGACTATCAGGACAGAAATTGTACATGCCATTATGATGCATATCAATATTATTTCATTGTTCATGTTTTGTTGATGCAGAGTATCAAATACTGTGCCGGGTTTTGTGAAAATTTTTGATGTCGCTCGAGGCATTGTTCCTTACTCTCTTATGATATTTAACAAAATTTTCAGCAAACTTTTCAATTTGATTACTTTCTTTTTTGTTGCTTAATCTGAATATGTACTGACTTTTATGTTTGTTTTGTTTCTTTCACACCTTTTTTGTTTTCCATGAATGAAGATTTTATCTCCTCATACTTGGAAGTATTCATGAAATTCTGAGAAGGAAAAATAGGAAAAGAGAAGGATAACAAACATGATTAAAAGATAAAGAGGTAAAAACAACTCAATTAATTTAATTAAAGTGCTTTTCAAGCAAATTCTTGAAATATAAATTTATAATTGCTGTTCTAAATTTGAATATTCTTTGCATCATTCAATTTATTTTTGCATCATTTTACTTGTTTTTCGCATCAAATAAGTGTCGATTTGCTTTATTTGCATTTCAAATGGCATAGAAAATACTTAAAACAAGTAGACATCCTTGACATTATATCTAATGATATAGCAGCATATGAAAGTTTACCGGATGACGCAATCAATACTAATTTACAAAAGATTGAAGTGGACTAGAAAGTTTGCTATAATGTATTGTTTGTTTCTTTATATTCCTTTAATCGATAGTAAAGTTTCGAAGAACTTTCAATTTCCTATCAGTTCTTATACCTGCATTCATTTGTTTCTCAAAATATGATAAAGGAATTAAAGTGAAACTTATTCGATGACTCATGAAGAATGAACTGGTACGACGCATTAATCTATGTTGATAAGATTTTATCAGCCTTGTAAACATTTATAAAAGCACTTATCAGTCATAAAATTGCGATAAATGATAAGAAAGTGTTATTTCAATTATTTATGAAAAACAAGTCAGTTTAGTTATATTTCATACGTGACCAAAGTTAAATCGTAAAAATAAGAGTTTAAAAAATGAAAGACGACAAAATTCTTTTAATTCCATCAGAAGAGAGTTACAAACATCATCACCATCATTTGCGAAAGAGATTTTGCTTAATTGGAGCCGTGTTTGTAGGAACAATATTTATCTCATGTATAATCATTTTGGTATGTGCTCAAAAATATAAAAATGTGAAATCGGAACTATAAGAAATGAAACGTTTAATTTGAAGGGTTCGTCATTAGGAATTCATCAGAAAAGTAGCTTGATTCATGGCAACAACATTATAAATAGTTCAATAATCATCAACATCATAGTAGATGGCGGTAATCGAAATAGAAGTTTAATTGATGAACTTATGGATGATAGTGACAGTGACTATGATATACAGGACAATGAGAATAAACCTGAAACTGATATATTTAGAGGACCTCTTAGAGTCGAGCATATTGATCAAATTCCCATTCTTAGGGATATGTTTGAAATGAAAACTACTATGGGACCAGAACCTGAAATTATTGCAACAACTGATACTGATTCATATTAGGCTCAACTGTAAAACCTTAGATTTGAAATTTTGCTCAATTAATTTTTCTCAATTTGTTATATGATTTGTAGTTAAATGAGAATCTATTGGAATCTATTATTATCAATTATCTCTTATTATCCTAACCACCGCCTCTACATACGTGTATTGACTAATAAAATTACAAGTCTTATTAAACTTCAATCAATTGTGTTTTCTTGATCAAAGCTTTTTGACTTTCTTTGCACCAACATTTTTTTATCTTAATTTAAAGGAGTTTGTTTTGAGAATAATGCATATTGATTGAAATTAATCTTGCATATATTCTCGTAAGATATTTATGTAATGATATTCAACCTTTAAGGTTAGAAGCTGTAATGAACAAAAGAAGTTTTGTGTCAGTCTTTGTTTGTAGGTGTTTCATCCATTCAAACCGAAAGAAATTGAGGATCTTTAGTATTATTATAAAACATGTCATCTATGAACGACCCCAAAAGAGTTTTTTGATGTGCGAAAAATGTAATGAGATATTTCTTAAAGCTTTCAAAACATAATTCTGCATAAACCGTTGATGTGTATAAAATGATGTTCTGTGAAGGTTAATTGAATCATATGTTTCAATGCTGGTATTTAAATGTCAACTTAGTATCTTTATACTTTGGTCTTTTACGTTTGGTGCTATTTTATTTAAATGATTTTGTGTTTTATCAACAATACTTTCTGTCACTATTATTCAGTGTGGCTTAAAATGTTGGCCCACATCTGACTTACGCAATGCGAATAAACCTGATATTCGACCATTGGAAGCTTTTGAAGACTTAAAAAAACTTTTTCATCAAACAAAAAAAGTAACTTTTATTTCTTAAATAAGCTCACAAAGGAAAAAAATGATGCTTGAATTATTAATACTTGTTAATACTGAAATTATATTTCAATCTCTGCTTCTGACTTAACAAATCTGTTTTAGACATTTTGCTCGAAGCTTTAATATTAAAATTCATGACTCTTTATTGGCATTTGACAAAACCGCACTGTCAAGTAACAAGTAACAGCAACTGATTTAATCCACACCTCTCAAAATATTATCCTACAATAAGCACAAAGTAATTGTTTTCGTTCTGTTCACGGAGATGGCTGCGACTGAACTGAAGCTTTTGTATGAAATTTTTTTCGCATTCACGCATCCTTGCTGTGTGTGTCGCGCTTTCTTCTTACATCCGTTAAAACTTAGTAAAACGTTTTCTTTTCAATAGCTGCTTTTGGATTATTTCATCGTACGTGCTTGCTGATCAATTTAATAGCAAAACAGTATTTAAAAATTTATAAGAAATCAAATAAGATAAATGCTTATTACACACGAGTCGTGACAAGAACAATGTTTTTATTTAGATTGATGCTGAATTGCAGTAAAACACACAGTGTCTTTAAATTATTCACAAATCTGCAAGCTTTATTTGCTGTCTAATTATTTTTAAGTAAAATTTCACTGCCTTAAAGTAAATCTTGAAGTTCATTCATAAATTGATGATAGGCATCGTCCTTTGTTTTCATGTGTTGCTGTTGTTTATGCATTGTTACCTGTTGCATCTGAGTTTCGCTAATGTACGATTTTGGTTTCGTCTTTCTCGGTTCGTCACGTTTAGATCGTAATGTTGATGGCACGAATCGAGTCACATCTGCTGAGAGATTTCTGATTTGTGGTTTTGCTGTAATTGTAGTTGTTGATTGCTTTGGTGGCATCATTTGGTTTCTATCGTGATGCTTATGTCTTGGTGGTGGACCTGATTAAAAATTTCATTCAATATTAATGTTAGCAGTTTTTTGATATTTGAAATTTAACGGGTTTTAAAAATTTAAATTATATGCTTAAAATTTGAATGTTCAAAAGTCGTTAAAAATTAATAAGCTTTAAAATTATATACCTGGTGCCATTCGAGGCATTCCTGGTCTTGGACCTGGCGGTGGACCTATTTAACAAATGATTTAATTATAATAAGACTTGCAAATGACAGAATAAAGCATTTACCTGGCGGCATTCGAATACCCATACCCAAATGCCCTCGTAAAGGAGGTGGACGAAACATTAAAGGATGAGGCATTCTAGGTAAAGCCATTGGTGGCATTGGCTGTGGCGGTAAAACTATGGGTTGTTCTGGTATTTTAGGTATTTCAACTTTTTCTGGTAGAATTTCCGGCTGTTCATTTTCTATTGGTGGTTCTTCATTACCCATATTTACATCCGGCGTTGGATCTATTCTGATATCTAATATCTTTTCTTCTACCTTTTTTTTTTGCACTGATTCTACTTCCTTCATAAATTCTTCAATATTCTTGTCATGCTTATCCTTTGAAATAATCTCGTCTTGTTCTTTCTCTGATTCATCGCTGCTTTCATAATCTGAGTCTAATTCACGTATTTCATAGATATTTGGTGGGAATTGAGGTGGAACTCCAGGCGGACTCTTTTCTTTATTATCTTGTGTCTCATTTGCTTCATCTGGTTTCTTTAGCGGCATTATTGGAGGTAAATTAGTAAGCAAAACTGGAGGTGGTAAATTTATTTTAGGAATTGTTGATGGTAAAGGTTTTTCATTTGTTGCTGACGGCAGTGGAATATCCTCAATAGATACTTGTTCAGCATGTCTAACGCTCTCAAAGTACTGCACTCGTTTATACTTCCTTTTTTCATAATCTACTTCCTTTCTTTTCATTTCTGAAAATGTTTCTGGATCTTCTTCGTGTAACAATCTCATGACTCGATCGAATGTCTCCTTCAACTTTTTACGTTTCTCCTTTAATACTTTTTCGTTCAGTGGAGATGGTTGCAAAACATTATATTCTGAAATTGACGGAGCAGATTATTAATTGATCAACTGGATGTTTCTGCAAGTTTCTTACCCATTTCATCAATTTTCTCCATTTCTTCTAATAACTGTCCTGGATCTTTGTTTTTCAACACTGCTTGTCTTACCATTTGCCTCTGTTTCTTGTTCTTCTTCAGTTCCTTTTTGCGAGCTTCCTTTCCTTAAATTAATAATAACAAACATTTGTGAAGAATAAATTTTATTTCGGAAAATCAATAATTTAATTAACTTACTCGCTTGATCCGTTGGATTCATATATTTTCCACTTTTCGTGGTGTTTATTGATCTTCTACCCATCTTGAAAAGATATAATTATGTCTATTTCCACGAAAATTGATAAATTTATTTTAAGAAAAATCAAAACAAAAAAAAAACTGTTTAAATTGATTCAAAACGAGGACCCCCGAATCAAAAATTCCACAAAAAAAATTCAGAATATTCTTAACACATATTTCTGTGACAAAAATTTTATTTTACTCACTTTGTCGGAAGAGATAGAAGTGTTTAAAATAGTTTTGAACGTTATTATTTAAAAAATTTATGACCGATATTTTTTCTATTGTTTTTAATTTCATTTGCTATTTAAAAGTTCTATGCTTAAAAAATGCATTCTCGACAATGACGAGTGACTACATCTATTCTAGTTCTTATTGGGGAAAGAAAAAATTTTAATAAAATATTGTGTCGTCTGAATATAGATATATCTGTAAATATCTGAGTGTTATACAGTACATGTCAGGCTCTAAAAATAAGTCCTAATCATCGTTATGAAGATTATAAATTAAATGAGATAAAAAATCGTAAATTAAGTAAAAATGCAATCAGAAGTTTTTGAAACAGATAAAAGTTTAATAAATAATAGCAATGTGGTACAGGATAAAGATGCTGGATTGTTGGCACAGCCTGAGAATGTCGTTCCGAAAGAAAACTTGATAGAGAACGATGAGGATTTAGAAAATAATTTTAGTGATTCTGATGATGGTGATCAGTATCTTAATTCCTTTAGTTCGCCATCAAATTCAGGCGATGACGAGCTACGATGGTATGCATATCGAGGACGACTTGGCATAAACTTTATGGAACAAAATGATGCTCCAAATAGTCAATTAATTTATCCACTACAAAATGAAAATCATCAAGCAAATAATCACAATATTCAACAGAATCAGCAAGAAGAAGAAGAAACAGATTTTCTAGAGATGGATTTTGAGCCAGACACGAATTCTGAGATAGAAAATGACAATGAAGGAAGATTCAATTTAAATTATGATTTAAGGAATGGCCATAATAATGTACCAGAAAATCAACAGCAACTTCCATCACAAAACCATCTTAATTTTAATATAAATCAGTCATTAAATGAAGAGCTCGTAAATCATAATAGTAGTGTTCGAAATACAGGTGCAAAGCCAAAACAGTTTTCATCTAATTGTCGCAATCTAAAATCTCCCAAACAAAATCCACAGCTTGCATCCGATGGAGATAATACGTTTAAAATTACAGGACATTTATATCCATACCCAGAATCATCATCATCATCAAAGCCACAGCAGCATTTAAATGATGACGATTCTTATAATATTGGTGCCTCTTGTTCACGACATTCTCTAAATAGTGAACGATCCTTTCATCGACATAATAATTTTGAGAGTAACTACATAAAACCCCACAAATCTCCATCTAAATCATCCAGTCATAATCATAAGCAACAAAGACTTCATGAGGAACAGAATGATCAGTTTCTTTTCGAAATTGAGCCTATTAAACCCAGAAATTCTGTAACAATCTACACTTCAAATTGTGATGAGAAGATTCTAATGGATGCACTGACATCCCTAAAGCTAAAACCTGATCGCGAAGTAATTTTGAATTATTTCAACAAATCAAAAATGGTTCCGCAACTTGGACTGATCGACTATATAATTTATAGGTCGAAAAAGAACTGCAATTACCTGAAAATAATAGAATTAATTGAAAATTCTTGTGTTAATGATTATCATGACGAGTATGGCACAAAGAAATTTGATATTAACTTCTATCCCGTAAGTTTATTGCAAAATTTCCAAGAAACTTCTTTTAAATTGCCAATATTTGCAGCTTGATTTCTTCTCGACGACACCTGAAATGATTGACATAGAAGTAAGTGAAATAGTCAAGCGATGGAATCCACAAACAGATTTATCACCGTTGGTTAATATCAAGAATAAGTACTTTATTCAAACTAATGTACTTGGTAAGTCTAATTTGATCACTCACGTGCTGCTACTCATTTAATTAATATCTTCCCTTTTAGGAAAGCTCGTTTACATTATTCGGAGGTTGAATAACAACCAGAAACCTCCGTCAATAATATTTCGTGAGGATGAGACAATAAAAATTCCTCAATTTTATGTTTCTGGATATATAACCATAACAACCAGACATCCAACTTAGAAATTTGGATTGACATGATTGATACTTTTATACCGTAATCATTTGTATATAATTTAACTTACAATTAAGTCTTAAAATATAAAAATTATTAAGCATTGCTAAATAATTGACTAGTTCTTTTAAATAGAATCATTTAAGATTGCTTAGGTTCATCCTCGATAAATATTCTTACAGAACTTTTAAAGCAACTTTCTGGAATCTTGTAATGTGCTTGATAAAATAAGTATATACTGTAAATAAGACTCCATACTCGAAGTGGAGCAATTAAGAATGCAATCAAGCCATTCTGGATTAGATAAAATATAGCCAATAAGATTTCTGCTATGATTAATGCAAGGAATGGTAAATTTGATTTAATAACTTTTAAGAAATTCTCTTCAGGTTTTTGTCCAGTCACACATCTGTTAAAGCTTCTCTTAACAACTCCAGCTAGTATGATCGTTAAGGGAAATTGGAACCAAGCTAGTTGATGAATTCCATACCAATAAGTTAAAGTTCCAGGAACAAATTGTCCTTTAACAAATATTCCCCATAAAAAGATGTATCCTCTATAGCCGTCGAGAATCTCATGGAATGACCAAGGTCCAAGTGTTGTCCAAATTAACATTATCACTAATCCAAAGTATATGCGATTTATACTGCATAGAATCACATATTTTTGAACAAGTCGTCTCGAATAAGCAGATTGGATTTTTGGTTTTTGAATTAATCGGTCTGAAATGAAAAAATTAATCTCGAGATTAAAAATTTAAATCAGATTAATTTACTTACATTTTAGAAGCATTTGCCATATCTTGAAAATAAGGAGCGGAAGTGAGCACACAATCAATGCAACGATATATCCAATTTGGAATACTGTCGTTAAATCCGACATTAATATAAATCGGGCCAGTAAATCGAAAGAAATCTTAGTTCCATCAGTCGCAAAAAAATGTTCGTCCTCGAAAGTTCCCCCGTTAGCATCTACAACATGAATTTTAATCTTATGCTTGCCACTAATGTATTTTGATGGATTCCAAGGAACCACGAAGAAATTGTCATTCTTCTGCTCACATTTCTTCCATCCTTCGTCGTCGATATCAATTTGACATAAAGTTATTGCTGATTTTGAAAATGCCAGAATCCTTATGTGAGTTGATTCCTTAATTAAATTAATATTTTCTTTAAATGGATTGTTGAATAGCATGTTTTTGGGATTTGTTATTAAGGCAATAGGATAAGTATCAAGTGGTCTATCAATTATTGTCAGCAATCCATGATCAATAGCTGCAATACGAAACCTACGAGTTCTTATAAAATCTCCTAGTTCTAGTTCCAAAAATCCTTCAGCATGTAATGTGTACATTCGATTCACTAATCTCCCTAATGTATGTAAATGCCCAGCTATAAATAAGATTGAGTTATCAAATTGACCAACGAATTTCTTAATGTTTGGGTGATTTGCTGGAGTCATAATTGTTGATGTTGGATAATGAGCGAACCAGATTGTGTAATCAGCTTTATTTTTTTCTACAATATTCTTAACATGCTGCAATTCCGCATCATCAATCATTCCAATGAAATTATAAGGTCTTTTTGACCCAGGCTCTATACTACAATCAAGCCCTACAAAGTTATACGTAGCTCCATTATTAGTGATTTGTTGGATATATGATTTTTTATGGTACCGTCCTTGCGAAGAATAGTTCCTGAATAAATCATTTTTGCCATGCAATTCAGGAACATTGAAATTATCATGATTTCCTCGTAGATCAAGCCATTTAGTTTTTGCAAACACCCCAGTGTCAACTAGTGCACTGTAATATGCCTGCCATTCCTCTATATATTGGTCACTTCCCAAAATTGTATCTTTTGCGTCAGTTAGATCACCACTAGCAATCACCTGTAAATTATTGTGAAAGTAAGGAAATACATACGTGGAAATTTGCCATTCTTTGTTAAGAACTTACAACTTTCGGCTTAATTACATCAAGCGCCTCTGAACAAAATTTTCGGAAATCATCAATTCTTGTCGGATCTTTAAACTTGGATATATGCAAGTCACTAATTTGGACAAACCAAAAGAGATCTTGTTGGTTCTCATCTAATTTACTGTTTCCAGAATTTGTATCTTCTATAACTTTGTTTTTAATTTTATCGCCATTTTCAGCATTAACATCATATAGATTTGCAAAAATTAAAAGAAATACTGACACTGATAATATGAATAATGCTAAAATACACTTAATTATACTCATTTTGACAGAAATTTAGCAAGAAATCTTTTTATTTATTTATCACGACTTGCTCACTTTATTAGCCTCTTATTTTTATGCTTATGAGTTTGTATCATCACTTTGGCACGTTTTTTGATGCGTTAATCATATCGGTGCTTTATGAAAAACGGTTTTCAAGTATTTGAATTTTATGAAAATTGTTAAAATTTTAAATTTATGAAAATCGTTAAAGATGCAAAAAAATAATTATTTTCTTTCAAGATTCTCAAAACAAAAATGCTTATTGAACACAAAATACACTTGGAATTAACATAATTTAAAATGTTTTAATCAAATATGCGATCTAACGGTTCATTTGTGTTATAATCTCTATGTAGATTTGAATTTATTTCTAATTTATGAGCCGTGTAAGACTGTTATAAAGTGGTTAAAGATACTATAGTGATTGTTGACATGAATTATGCGACGCATAAATGTTAATTTTCAAGTTTATTTTAAAATTTAACTCGCTTTTGATATTTAAATTTTGAACGATTCTTTGTCAATTATGACTCGACATTATTTTAAATCAACTCATTATAGCTGAATCGTTATGGGCCCCGACGAAAAAAAATTATTCGTGAGTGACGCTTTAAATCTTAAATATCTCCGAAACCCCAATAGTGATAAATTTCAAAGTTATTTTATCTTGTAGGAAACAAAAATTTCTATCTTTTGACATACAACTTACTTCCTAAAGTTAAGCAGTTCAAATCACTTTAACTAAACGTCACTCACGAATAATTTTTGGGAATTTTGCCATAACTTTGTCAGTTTTCATTGATATATCTTCAAATGTATGTTTTTAGATCAGAAATTTTATTCTCTTTTATTTGGTTTCAAAAAAAGTAATAAATTGTCACCGAAACATACTTAATTGAACAAAATTAAGATAAAAAAATTTTCAACGGTTTTAAATTTTTTGAATTTTTTCTGTCATGAGATGTTTGTTTACAAACAAAAATTGAAATGAAATTTAAAAAATCATGAAAATATCACTCAATAATGATGTTAAAGCTCTTAAAATAGGCAGAATAGCTAATGTATCATTACTTTTCGTATTCAAATCATAATATTTGGGATTAATGATTGAATAATCAAGAATTTTGAGAATTTAATTTTTGATGTTTTATATGATAGTGTTAGTGAAAAATTCAAATTATTTTTTTCCGTTAAGCAAATATCCTTAAAAAAACATCGAGGCCCTTATAGAATCTATAAACTTTTATAAATCAATAGAAGCATTAAAACTAGAAAGTGCTCTTCCTTAATAAGTGCTAACCTAGCTCTTGATATAGAAAGGCATAAATTCGTTAAAAAATTGTGTCAGTCGACAAATCGAATCCTCATGAAAGTTTTACTCAAAAAGAAGTCTTACAGCAAAAACAAGTCTTACAGCAAAAACAGTCAAAAATTAAAATAAAATATTTGATTAAATGAGTTTTATAGTAAAGAACGAGGATGATAAGTTCCTTATATCATTTTCTAAGGTCAAGGACGATGAGTTCATTATACTGGCAACCAATTTGAAGCAATTCTTTGTCCAGAAACGCATAAATTCAGAATATATTCAAGAAAAATTTAATGTAAGTCCTTTTTTGCTTTATTATCTGAATTAATCTAGCTGCCTAAGCACCAAATTCTCCTTTCTATTATCATTTATAAAGGAATCTCACAAGACCATAAAGTTTGAATTATCAAAAATCTTGAAAATCATTCAAGAAGAAGAACCGGCAAATGACAGCGAATTAAAAGTCACTGGAAGTGATTTAAACTTAGTGCTTAAATATCAAACAGTCCTTAGGAATATGACTGGCTCTTTTAAAATCAGTTTCAAGCTAGAAGAGTGTACATCAATTCCTGAAATTGGTGAACTATTCTTTACTGGATTATTAAAAACAATAATTCATGAAAAGTTGAAAACTGTTGGAAGTGACAAGTTTAATGTGAATTTACCGGAAACGTCATTTGAAGCTACTTTTAAAGTCAATGATAGCAATATTTCCGATTTATGTCAATTCATTGGTTGCGACATTATGTCTAAAAGTGATAATACAGAACAAAAACCTGTTGAGCAAGTAAAGGTTTTAAAGCAGTCTACCAAATCTACATCAAGGGCTGTAAAGAGACCAATTGTAATGCATAATGAGATGAAATTTGTGCAACTAAATGACAGTCAAGAAATAGATATAACGGAAGGAGAAAAGCCTAAAGAAGTCACAACAAAAATTGTGAAAAACAAAAAGAACATAAAATTTTAATGACAAAATCTTAACTGACTTTCAAAATTCAAAAAAATCAAGTCACAAAAAATAAACAAAAAAAAATTATGAAATTTAAAAATTTAATGAAATATTCTAAATTCACGCCTAAATTAGTGTAGAATGGATAGTAAAGAGAAAGTTCCTCGTGGTTGGATCAAGGTACAGTCAAAAACTAGAGCTGATAAGTTCTATTATTATAATAAAGAGAAAAAAATATCAGTTTGGAAGTTAAGTGATTGTAACGATGAATCAAAGATCCAGTTACCAAAAAGTTCATCACAATCCAAAACGCCCAAAAAGTCACCAAAAAAGGAATCAAAGTTATCAAATCATTCAATAGTCATTGGAAAGCGTAATTTAGCAGAAGAACGACTAAAAAAGCTTCAAACAACATTAAAAGAAGAAGCAAAACGTGGCAAGGTCGATAAGAATAAGAGTAAGCCTAATAAGCGGCAAGGACCTGTAGAAAATAATACAATAATATCAAGGCCATCAAAAAGTTTAATTTCGTCAGAAGAAGTTGATGCAATAATCTCAGGAATAGCAGTTAAGCCAAAAGTCAAAGATCCAGTAAAGAACGATTCAAAATCTCAGGAAATAACACTAAAGGCTCGAGAAAATGACATTAATAATAGCAATACAACTGTTATTGATGACGACGAAAGCTTTAAAATGGAAGTTGATGAGCAGCTTGATAAATCTACAGAATCATTGACTGATTATGAGGAACCGATGGAATGGGAGGATATTGATGAGAAGCTTGTAGTCAAGGAAGTTCAAAATATTCGTACGAAAATTAATGCTACGTCTAATTCCTCAATTGGAACTAGTCAAGTGTCTAATAAGTTGTCTAAGACTGATTTCTACATTATTGTGGACACAAATGTTCTACTCTCGAATCTTACTTTCGTAAAAGAAATCAAGAGCAAGCTATTTAAAGGTAATAACATCCACAAACATAATCGTGCTCCACTGTTGACTCAAATTAATCAAATATTTATTTCTAGATATCGGTCGTGCATACATTTATCTTCCATATATAGTCTTGTGTGAATTAGATCGACTTAAATTACGAGAAGAAAGCATTGCCCGATTAGCAAGAACTGCCATATCCTTCATCGATGATTGTTTCAAGGCAAAAGATGAATTTATTTTAGGACAAAATGCTATTGAGAGTTCTCGTGAGCTCATTGAGATTGATTCTGGTGACGATTATATAATTAATTGTGCTCTACAAATGAAGGAATTAACATCAAAAATAATACTGCTGAGCAATGACAAAAACCTGCGAAACAAAGGCTTTGTGAACGGTTTTGATGCATTTTCCTCAGATACGCTTAATTATGCTGATTACAATGTTAATAACACGATAAAATTTGAATGACTATTATGTTATTATCGAGTTTAGCACTTACTCTGCTATATATGCATATTATTATTATTAAGTAAACAATCGATGAAGGCTCGTGAATGCTCTAACAATATTTATCGTGGTGCAAATTAATTAAACACTATTTTTTACATCATACAAACTTTTTATAATTCTATTTGTAGAATATCTAAAGCTAATAAATGATTTAATTAGAATCCAATCAAAATATTTGTTTAAACGATTATCACGTATTGGATATAAAGGCATGAATTTTTGATTAGATTCGCACTTTCTTAGGATTTGTCGAGATGCTAAGTTCTCATTATTAACGTATTAATTGAATTTAAATCATTCTGTTACGCAATAAGGAGTTAAGAAGAAAACGGTCCAAGGTGACAAAACTTCTGATATAATTTCGGGATTGTAGATTATAATGACTTAATAGGATTTGTTTGACTTACCTGAAAAGTATTGGTATTGGAATTTAAGTTAAATTAATGTTGAATTTGAAATTGTGTCAAATAAATTACAGCAATCGATCGATTAAAGTTGTCAAAAAATTGTTAAAAGTGAACAACGCTTGCAGTAAACACACAAAAAAAACTAGTTCTCTCGTATCGTTTATCGAAGCAACATGTCTTAATGCCCAATCTTTAATTTATTTATTATTTTAATATCTAGATAGTTAAAATAGTCTAAGTGCCTAGTATAATTAATTGTGTGTATTTAAATAATGTGCAAAATTAAAAACGTTAAAGTGAAACGAGAGAAAAATTAAATAAAAATAGAACAATAGAAAAAAAAAGGTTTCTTATCAACAATAAGAGACGAAATATATGTGAATTAAAGTGGTTTGTGAATCTTAACGTTATCTTGGAAATAATCATTAATTACCTATCAAAAAGAAGTCCGATAAATCCGAAGATCATAAAATATATGATTTTTATTATAACTCACAAAAGGAAATCTTTTAAATGCAATAAATTTAATTTTGCGAAAAAAAACCTACGAAAGTAACAATGACATTGTCCTCATTTTGTCAGTGCACTATTCTGTTCTATATGCTTCCAAGTACATACAGTGAATTGTATTTTGTAGTTCAAAAGTGATAAACATAATAAAAAGTAATTAATTTGTGAATGCTGGTAGTGAAGATATGAATGTAAAAACTCGAATTAAGTAGATTTGATTTTGTTTTGACAAGTGCTGGTTGAATTATGCTCGATTTTGGATTATTTACTCTACTGGTTTTTTTAAATTTGAAATTTATGCTCACTTAACGGTTTCAAATAATTTAAAACGATTTTCAAAAATTCGTTTAAAAAAATATAAGATCTAACCTATCAAATTTTTCTTCGTGTTGTTTTGGTAATTAATTAATTTTAAGTGCTACAGTGTACACAAAAAACATTCATTTATTTGTATTATAAATACTAGTTTTATCTTCATCTATTTCACGTTCAATTTACACTATTTAAAGAGTCGATCATGAGTAATTATGGTTTATACAGAAAAATTGAAAACCAATGGAGTAAGTGACTGAGATGAATCATTGAAATCTTAATTAATACGCTATGCTACCCGCACTTGTTGAGACAAAAACAAAGCTTTATTTGATGTTTGTTTAATCAAAAAAGATATAAACCGAAATATTTGTTTATGTTGCTTTTTAATTAGAACACATTTGCCTTTGTGGATCTGCCTGCCTAAAATCGTTGTTGTATTAGAAAAATAAAAAGAAAGAAGTTAATATATTACTTACGGCAGATGCTAGTTTTCATCTAGATCATCTGAACACTCAATGATTGTTGACGAAATAAGATAATTAACTTTCCAACATCCACGACCCCAAAAAAACACAAAAGTAATCAACATGAAATTTTCAGGACATCTAGCCACTCACATTACTCCGACATGGAAGCATCAATACGTCTCGTACGAGGTGAGTCATTCATTCATGCAAAAATCTGTGATTTATTTTTTGTTTCTTTCTATGGAATAGCTTGTAAGATCTTTATTTCATCTTAAATGATGAAAATTACATTTTCTTTTGATATTATTATTTTATTTTCTGTCTTAATGCACTGCATCCTGCAAGCAATCATCATCGCCATGTCAAATAAATCTTTCAAAAATATTCTTTCTATGCAAATCGGTGCTGTAAGACATTTTCTTCTTTTTCACTTAGCTCTGTTTCTGTATCATTAAATCAATGATATTATTTCCTTCGTTTTTTTGCATATTATAAAAGCTACATTTAAAATCCACGAAAACGACGATGAAGAGAGTAAAACTAAAAATAACAAAGTTGTCTACAACGTGAGACACATTAATTCATTGACTCTAAAAAGATGTATAGGAGAAATATTTACGAATAAAAACAAAATCTGACCCGATAATTAGTGGAAAATTTTCACATAATGATATGCCTGTAAATTGCAAGACCTTGTAGCATATTCTTTTACATGAATCCCAATGTCATTTATCGATTTTTTTTCAGTTCGTATTCCTGAAAATCGCATTGAAAATGAGACATTGAAAGCATGTGGAAATAGTTTCACATGCTTGCAGTGAATGGAAAATTGTAGAAATATAGAAATAGTCGAAGGAATGGTTTTTAGAAGATTTTGTTGTGCATTTAGAACATGTTTAATTAAAATCAAGGATTTCAAGTGGCTACACTTTGAATTTAAATCTTAAATTAAACTTAAATCGTTTTTCTAATAAATATCTTCATGTCCCATATCCACAACAGTTATCGAAGATAAAAAGCAATAATCCTCACACTTTATTGTCAAAAATAACTGTTATAGTCGGTTCCAGTTACAGCACCTTTTATTAATAAACAATTTATTTGCCGTAGTTTTGTAATTTACTTTATTACTGTGGAAACAGTCTCATATTATTAATAACTTCATGTTAAAATCACGGAAACTTTCCATGGATATACACAAACAAACTTAATGCACTTTATTGCTTTATCGCAAGTCTCTTATCACTCGATACTCTCATATTTATAAAAAAATTCTCGCCAAGCAAAGTATCTCAAGTTTTCAGATTTATATGAATTTAATTGCTATCATCAACCTAGACTTAGTATCAATTAAAGAATTTTCATTCAGATTCCCAAATTGAGGTTGTTTAAAAGTGACGTCAATTAATATATTTTCAGACTCCTCCTCTTTCGTAGTGACAAAATTTCTTTGATTTAAGCGATTTAAGTATTAATATTTCAAAATATTACGATCCCCACACCCCTCCTAGATATTAATAATAGACATTATACGTAAATGACCCATTCATGATGATGTGCAAAAAATGTCTTACTTACAATTTTTATGACTGCCGTCTTATTCCGCATTTAAAAAATTTCAAGTGTAGGTTTTGAGGATTTATACACAAATTTGTGTGCCGTAACAAATAAGAAGAAATAAATATAAAAGATTATAGAGCAAAAATCAACAGGTTTAAAACAATCGTATGCTTTTTCAAAAAAAAAAAAGAATTTTAATGTTTCGAGTAACGATGTGAAAATTGTATGGGAATTCCCAACTGCAAAAAATCTACGTCATAAAGATTTCGCGAACATAAAAGCAGTAAGGCAAACAAATTGACAAGAATGTTTTACGAGTACTTGAACTGTCAATAAATATTTGATAATTATTATCGACGCTTACTTTCTCGTCTGTTTGTCTTTGAAAGCAGATCTATTCGGCGTTGTTTATTTTGGCATTTTTGACACATTTAATAGCTCGGACTGAAAATGTGATTGATGTAGCTTTGATTTCTGATTTTTTATAATTTGAAATAATCGATAATTAGACATGCTTGATACTCTGCTTGTAAGGCTTATTTTCCTATCAATTTTCGTACGTATCTATCACGTTTTTAAAAGAACAAAAATTCGTGATTGTCACGAGGGAAAATAAGTCGCATGATGGTCTGTGCTGTAAATATCTGAGGATATTATTTTTTTTCGAGCATCTGGTTGATGACTAAGCATAGTTGTTTACAATTGCGGCAAATCAAAGGTTGTAGAGCTCTAGAAATTGTTTGATATACGCTGAATTTACTTGATTGATTTTAAGAAGGATTCTTATAAGTTATTGAGTTGTTATAGTTGAATTATAAAGAAAATTGAGTAGAGAGCTACATTTATTCAAAGTTTAGAGTTGAAAATTGTTTGCATGATCCAGATTTAAAAAGTGTATGCTTGATATGAAATTCAGTAAAACGTTGTCAACGACATTCAAAAATTTGTAAAAATGCTTGTGAATGCGGCTGAATAAATTTATTAAAATTTGATTTTTTAAAAACCGTTAAAAATTCAAATGCTATTTGTTCGTTGATTTTTGACAAAATTCAATAAAATGCCATTAAACGAAATCTGACTATTAGTCACGTGCTGTGACATTTAAAACCCCAAGAAAACCACAGTGCGAGACTGAAAAATCATGATTTGTCACTCAAAGTCCACTAACGATATATGATTAGGGTTCTTAAACTAAAATATAGGCATGCGACATGTGATTTGAGATTATTGAGTCTTGCGCGAATAAATAACTGGTTTTTCTTTATAATTTTGTTCCTTAATTTCTCTTGATAGCCTTTTATTTAATTTTATGATAAGATAAGATTATCAAAAGGTTATTAACAGGCTCTTTAGAGTACTTTTAAACTTTTATCACTAAATCTTATTTCATAAGTCTAAAATTGGAAGCAGAATTGAGGGCTTTCATTGATTATAAATGCTTTAATCTAAAGAAATGTGATTTTTAAAACACTTCGTGAATTATAAGTGAACACAGCACCAAATATCTCCTGTCACTAAGGGTATTTGTCGATAAAATTTCATTTCTTTAGCAACTATGTTCCTAAAAGCACTTGAAAATGACTTAAGAGCTAGATTATATTTAATTAAAATCGAGATAAAAGTTGACTTGAATTGATCGAAATTGTTGGTGCTTAAATGTCTATGAAATAATGTTCTATAATTAGCTTAAACTGTATTAAGGGGGATTTGATGTCATTGAACAAGTTTATGCGAACGAAGGAATGCTGAGTCATATTTAAAAATCAATTTAAATGTTCGATTATCACATGCTGAATGCAAACATAAAGAAATGATTCACTTTCATTTCAATCAATACGAAATCAATATTGTTGTGAGTTTCCAAAGCAAGTCATGGTTACGCATAATAGTAATGCTGTAAACCCCCAAAATAGTTGTTTGTCTAAATTTAAGGGCGGATGGCGATCTATCTAGGATTCCTTGATTTATAAACCTTGCCATTTGCTTCCATTTCTATTCATTAAACATGTTCCTTAATAATCAGCTGATTAACTCAATTTGCTTATCTTGTTTATTTGCAGGAAATGAAAGCGATGCTGTATCAAGCAGTCGAGGAAGCGCCAGCTGTCGAAAGTGTTGAAGAAGACATACTTAAAAGACATTTTGCGAATTTTGATGAAACATTCTTTAACTTTTGTGACAAGGAACTGAAGAAGATCAATACATTCTATGCAGAAAAATTAGCCGAAGCGACTAGAAAGTTTGCGACGCTCAGCAATGAGTTGAAAATAGCATTAGAGGAAGTTAACCAAAAAACAAAAAGCAAACCACATCAAATGCTTAAAAAGCGGTTGCTTCCTAGTAAAAAGGCACAAGTATGATCGAATTAATGAATTCTTGTTAATTGTTACTGTATTACTGCTTATTATTTCTAGGAATTCAAACTTGCGTACAGTGAATTTTATTTATCGCTAGTTCTTCTACAAAACTATCAAAATCTCAATCATACAGGATTTAGAAAAATCCTTAAAAAACATGATAAGTTGCTTCGTGTCGATATTGGTGGAAAATGGCAAAAAGAGAAAGTCGAAGCTTCACATTTCTTTACAAATCGTGATATTGATAAACTGATTCATGAGACAGAGCATACTGTCACTACTGAATTGGAAGATGGTGATCGTCAAAAAGCAATGAAGAGACTTAGGGTGCCGCCCATTGGTATGCTGACTGTTCTATGTCCAAAACTAGTTAGATCTATATGTTTAAATTCTTTTCATAGGTGAACAGCAAAGTCCGTGGACGACATTTAAAGTTGGTCTCTTCTCTGGGAGTTTTATTATCCTTTTCATAGCTGTGATTCTTTCTGCAATATTCTATTCTGATATTCCAAATAATAATAATGATAATAATGCTGAGCAAATTGAGACTCTAAAGATTGCCTTCCGATTATATCGTGCACCATTCATATTCGTGCTGTTTATATTCCTTATTGGCATCAATATTTATGGATGGAGAAGTGCTGGTGTTAATCATGTACTTATTTTCGAACTCGATCCAAGAAATCACTTGAGTGAACAGCATTTAATGGAATTAGCTGGAATTTTTGGTGTTGTATGGGCGATAAGTGTGCTGAGCTTTCTGTATGCTACAAGTCTTTCAATACCACCATTTATAAATCCATTGGTATTAGTCGTAGTGATGATCGTATTCCTGTGCAATCCCATAAAAGTTTTTCGATGGGAGGCACGTTTTTGGTTGCTGAGGAAAATTGTAAGGCATAGAAATTATTATTTTATTACTTCTATTGCTAATTAAACTAATTTATTTAGGGTCGCATGGTGTCAGCACCTTTCTTTGCTGTACAGTTCGCTGATTTCTGGCTTGCTGATCAAGCCAATTCTCTTGTGATAGCATTAATGGACCTTCAATTCCTTACTTGCTTCTATTTCACCAGCAATGACTGGATGAACTTTAAAGCAACAGAACATTGCATGGAAAAAGATTTTATTTTTCGTCCGATTGTCAATTGTTTACCTGCCTGGTTCCGTTTTGCTCAGTGTATACGACGTTATCGCGATTCACGTAAGATCATGCAAATTAATTAATTAAAAAATATATCAAAATATTTACATAATCTTTATTTTTTTGACCTCATATAAAAAAAGATGAAGCATTTCCTCATTTAGTTAATGCTGGAAAATATTCAACGACATTTTTCGTCGTGATATTTGCAACGCTAAGGAACTTTAATGCTGATAAATATGAATCGTCATTTGATAATCCTTATACATACGCGTGGATGATTAGTCAAACTATTAGTTCCTTTTATGCCTTAACATGGGATTTAAGAATGGATTGGGGATTATTTGATAAAAATGCTGGAGAAAATACTTTATTGCGCGAGGAAATTGTCTATTCGTCAGCGGTAATAATTTTTGCACTTTTATGAGTGACTTAATGCTGAAATTACTTTGCTTTCTACTTCCAGTCATTCTATTACTTTGCCATCATTGAAGACATAATGCTAAGATTTATTTGGATAGTTTCATTTCTTTTAACTGAAAATAAAGTTCTAAGTACTGATTTCCTAACATCCCTTCAAGCTATACTCGAAGTGTTTAGACGCTTTGTATGGAACTTCTTCCGTTTAGAGAACGAGCACTTGAACAATTGTGGTCAGTTCAGAGCTGTTCGTGATATTTCCATTGCACCTATCGATTCGTCGGATCAAACTACGATTTTAAGAATGATGGATGATGACGGTGATTTTGTGCAGAATAGGTATGGATGAATTGTCATTATCTTAGCAAAAACCGTTATTATTTGAATTCAAACCGTTACAATTCAAATATTTTTTGACAGTTCTATTTCAAATTTATTTTAACCGTTATTTTTTAAATGAGAATTTTCCTGTTCAATTTGAGATTTATGGACATAACAACTCATTTTTATTCCATCTACAGATACAACAAGCAGAACCGACCAAAGACAAAGAAATCCAAAGATCCAGAAAAGAAACAACTTCTACAAGCATTCAGATCATCAATGAATGACTTAACGATTGATATGCAAGGCACAAAAAGATTATGATGTTCGCTATTTATTGTATAATAATTTTTAAATAATGTCCTTTTTTGTTAATTTTATTCTCAATGACGTTTGATTATTTTTCCTTCTCAAACAAGGCATTGTATCGTTAATATATAAACACTTTAGCATTTAAATATTTTATTCAAGAGTTATTGTACATTTTAATTATTAGATTAGTTTGAATGAGAATAGAATTTATGATTCGAGAAGAATGAAAAGCAAAGTTACCTATTATTAATTATTAAAGGAATACTGGTGCTAAATACTGTTTGCATAAATACATAAAAAAGACTAAAAAGACATATTTAAATTAGGGAAAAAAATTTCAATAAATTACAATGATTGTGCCTAAACGAAAGGAACGAAACTAAAGAATGTTATCTATGGGAGCGTATGCATATTACTTGGTGCTAGATATCGTTCTACTGTGATTAAATGTTTGACAGATATCTACTATAAAGCATAACGTTGTATGTAAATGCTCCCTTTGTTGGAATATGCCATAGATTGATGCCCAAAAGACACATTTTGATTATAATATGGGAGTTATGAATGGAATTTGTCAGATTGTTTGTTATTCTTGAGACACTAGTGTGCAAAATTGTATTTAATTGGTTTGTTCCTGTAAAAGTAACGTTAAGACTAATTTAACACTGTTTTGCGATTGTGTAACTTGAATTGGTAAAGGTCAGATTATTTGACCAGAATCTTGTATTTCTTAATAAGTGTCTTGTGCGTAGCAATAGTAGCACGTACAAGCTGTATTTAATATACAGTTAGACATGTGACAGTTGTGCAGCATAATAAAGCACAGCCTTAATAAATCTGTGATGAGTAACAAGATTTTGATCAAATAATCAGCACTGTTTGATTTGAGTCTAATATAATATTGTGTCGTTTTGGGAAATAAGGCCTTACTTTATCATGTACTTCCATTTTATTTTTATTACATCAACTTTGTAGATAAAACACGTTGAATATTCAACCGATTTTTTTTACCGAATTAGGATTACATAAATTCTACATATCGCATTATTCGACGATTTTATTTTTTCATAGGCTTTAAATAGGATTATAAAAAAAAAAGATGCGATATTCATATGTAGCACTTTAGCGTAGCAGTATTAACATTTTAAGGAGAAATAAAAAGATTTGAAGAAAAGTTGTTAGACATTTTGGAAGTAAATAATGATTAATAAAGAAATAATGATATTTTGACATAAATTTGAAAGTTTTTACTATCGTCGCGTCGATGAAAATTCTAAACTTTGTGATTGCAACCAAATTTTAAAGAAAGTAGTAAGAGAAACAAAATAGTCATCAACTAGCCTTTAACTAAATAGCCAATATATCTGGTTGAACATGACGAAGCAATGCATCCTACTTGAAAGGTTAAAATAAATTATAAATAACTGAAAAAGACATTGTTGACATCTTACGTGCGTTTTAGTGAAAATACCGAGTATCGTCATCAATACGAGACAGCACTTAAAAATATCTCTTAATGCATTAATACTTTCAGCATGTGTCGTGCAAATTTTTATTAAAAATACATTTCAATTCTTGATAATTCGCTCAAATCCTATTAGGAATCCCCATTCATTCTTTAAACTCCACATTATAAAGCTCTTCTCATCTCCGTTGAGTATAAAAAACTTGAGACTTAAGAAAGAACAGTAATTAATCATCAAGAGAATCATCATCATCATCGAGTATTGAGAAGATTCTCAGTCTATAGACTGCTCTCAATACGCAGACACAGCATCAGTCGACAACAAATAATATTTCCGATGAGATTTTTAATTTTATTTATCGTAATTCTGCCCTTTTTCCAGCTATGTGATTCCTCATTTTCTGAAAGTCACGATGACATGCTCATTCAATGTCGAATGAACATCAAAAATTTATCGAAAAAGCGTGAAAAGCACATTTGTGAAAAGGAGAATTTTGACGATGATTTTGAGTATCAAATTGCAAATATGGAAGCTCCTTATTCAGGTGAATTCATTTGGAAACATTTATCGACTTTCCTAAAATGCTTTCTACATCTTTAGGACAAAAGTTCATGTGTATATCATTCGAAAAGGCTCAAGATCAAAAACTCAAATTTAAACTTTGGTTCTCTCACGAGAAGTTCAGTATTAATGCCGTAAGTGTGACTCTTTGTACTCTTTTCAGAAACTTTTTGTCTCAGAGAATATTTTTTATATAGTTTGGCATTAAAAATGCAAATATTGCAAAAGGAGTCTTTGAATCATCTGTGGTATTTAAGTCTTCATTCATTGTTGTCATTCCAACTGGCAATGTGACAATTCCACAAATATTTGGCTTTGAACTCAATGGTCAAGGTGAGATTTTGTTTTTATTTATGTCTTTAAAGTGACGAATAATGCATTCCCAATCAAATTAAACATATTTATCAATTTTTCGCTCTATAATGCGCAATAATATTGTAAAGATTCAGCGACATTTATTTCATCCATATAATACGCAACCTACAAATATTTCCGTTATATAATACGCATCACATAAATATTTCATTCGTATAACGCGCATTACAATAATATTTCGGTTACATAATGCGCATCTCATTAATGAAAACAATCTTGCATATAATTTCCGTCCCATAGATGCATGTCCATTCTGCGGACAAAGATTAGAAGAACCTGCAATCGCACTTATTAGAGGAGGAACAGAAGTTAACAATCACTATAAGTATCCATGGCATATGACAATCTATCACTATGAGTCATCAAATTTACAATATAAATGTGGAGCATCAATAATCCGCGAGAATAAAATTATCACTGCTGCGCATTGTGTAACATACAAGGATCAAAAGCTGCATGAAAATAAACTTGTTGTTCGATTTGAGGAGGAAGGAAAGCTATTTGAGTCAACAAAATATCAATATAAAGTCTTTCGAATACTTGTTCATGAACTTTATAGTCATGAAACATTTGAGAATGACATTGCTATATTGATACTTGAGACATCCATTGATATACATAGCAAGAATATCCGAGCAATTTGTTTACCTCCGAAAGGAAAGACGAATTTTCCCAGTAAATTTATGATGCAATTTTGGGATCAAGCATGAGAAGTAATGTAATTGAAATTTCAGATGAAGGATTTGTGGTTGGATTTGGTTCAACTGATAGACATGTGAATGCATCAAGGATTTTACTCGAAACAAAGCTTCCAATCATTCAAAAGGATGAATGTCGAGATAGTGATCCAGCATTTTTTGCCAGACACTTATTTGACACAAACTTTTGTGCTGGAAAAAGGGGATTTGGAGTTTGTAGTGGAGATTCTGGTATGTCTATTGTGCATGTCATGTTATTTTCAATTGATTGCTGGATTAAGATATAGATTTTTGAATTATTTCTGCTTTTTCAGGAGGTGGACTGTTTGTTTATTCTAAGGGACTCTGGATTTTGAAAGGAATTGTATCCAATACTAAGCCAAACACAGATTCATCAATTGTCAATCCAACCTGCAGTGATGACAATTATGCTCTGTTTACTGATGTTGCTAAATATTTGGGTAAGTAGAATGTTTTCTTAAAGGAACTGTGAACTTTTCGGAACATTGAGTCAAGCTTTCTCATATTCTGATTGATAATCATTGTGCTAAAGCTCTTCGTAGTGATATGACAAGCTCTCACTTTTTTTATCATCAAAATTTAAACGTGTCAATTAGAACATGTCCAAAATTCTCATCAATATGCTACCGTGTCATCAAAACATGCATATTTTATGCTTTATTAGGTAATTAATTTTCAATCTTCATTTATTTAATAGACTGGATTGATAAACGTGTCAGCGATAATTGATGATTTTCAAATATTAATTGACGATATTTGGATGCAACAAATTATAAAATATTTAATAAACAATTTGTTTTCACGCCTGACTAACTGAATTGCTGATATTACTGATTTTTTTCATGATCCTTAAAAAATGCCTCAAAACTTTAGCCAACATCAATGTGTGAGGAAAGCATCAATAGCTCAATCACGTACATACTATCAATCACAAAACATTTCCAATTAGTCTCAGGCCTCATTTCTTCTACTTCTTTCTTCCGACAGCAACTCGAATTGAGCCTTAAATTTATGATTTTTTTCATTCATAATCTTAAGCAGTTCTCCATTCTTTTTATTGTTTGTTGATTCTAAGAATAGAATGTAAGAAGACAGTGGTGTATTGAGTGGGGTTGGCCTTATTTCCTGCAACTGACTCCCTCGACGCACCATTAATAAATTCCTGCATAGCTCCTGATGTGAGTTATGCGAGAGATATAAGCAGCACATAAACAAGTCAGAATAACACAATAAAAATCCACAAGTTGAGTAAATTTTTATGTTTTATTTATCACAAAGCTACGATCCACAAGTGGATGGTAATGGAAGGAAGGTAAAAACGAATTATTCCATTGATTGAACAGCACATGAAAAAACATCAAAATTAATTTTTCATGTCAATGGAAGTGCCGTAAAACAATTTTCTTGAGTCAATTTTGTGTCACGTCTTTTGAAAATTTAATCTAGTTTTTTTTTGTCTCACCCTCTTGACTTTCCATCACCTCCTTTATTCATCCATGCTGATAAAACTTTTATGCTTAAAGCTCAAGATTTCTTCTCGTTCTATTACTGCCTTTTATAAATCGATCCCAATGGAAATCTTTCTCACAAAGCTTGTTGAAGGATGAAAAGAAGAATTTAATTTATTGCAACTTTGGATTCAAGCACTTTTTTGTGTACGGACAATGCAGCGTTGTGGATTTGAGAAGCTTTCATGGATTTTTTGGATATTTACGCATTTAAAAGCTTTACTTGCAACACCAGCAGTTAAGCAGTTAAGTAAAGAAGCAGTTAAGTGCCTTGCTGGTCGAATAGGTAAGGCGCTTGGCTCAAATTTGGTATGGTAACTCGAAGGTCGTCGGTTCGAATCCAGCCATTTCCAAATTTGTTCTTTTTCGGAAGTTTAGATACTTCGACTGAATAATGTTAGGAGATCAAGCAATAATTGGGCATTTGGGCAACGTTGGATTAAGGAACGGATCAGGAACTTGAAGTGTAGCGGGAGAAATTGAAACGAGAGCTACAAGATTACCCACGAATGGAATATTGTTAGAACGGACCTGAAAAGTATCACGTCACGCCCACAGAAGATTTAAACGAGAGCCTGAATTTAATCGAAACCTAGATTTGAAGATTAGAAGTTTGATACTACGTCACCCATAGTGATATGAAATGTATCACTAATCAATGTAAAAAGTAAAACATGTATAAATACTAATTCTTCCGGACGGTAACGTCGACAAATAAAGAATAATAAATAATGAAAATAATAAGATGGAAAGGAAAATCACAGCTGAGTTTTATTGATACCGAAAACTGATTTGGTCCGTAGTCAACACGAGGGAAACTCCACATGTTGAGAAATTTTAAATTTTGAAGTCCTTACGGATTTACACTATACTGACGATGGTACTCTGCAAATTCTGACAAGTGCTTCAAAACTAAAGTGATACTAAGCAAAAATTTTAATATTAAATGGCCTCATTCCTGCTATTGACATCTTCATTTCCTACAACTGCATCCTCAAGTCAGTCCAAAACTTTATGGTATGCACAAATGTTGAAGACATTTTAAGAAACTGCTGAGCTTTTTTCCTTCTATATAAACTCCTTTATCACCCAGCATCATCAGTCAGCATTAAAACCTGTGCTGAAATAACATCCCTTAAGCATCAAATGAGTAGGAAGAAGATGTAGGAACATAGAGATAAATTTTAGATGTTGCTCAAGGATATATATCGTTGTGATAAACAAAAGGATATGCTTAAATGAAATAATTTTACTACATGACCGCATGTATATGAACATCTATGGAATTTCTTATACTCTGTATATCGCTTGGGATGTACAATAACAGTATGTGGTAAAATTACACACAAAGCATGTGAAAGACGATATGTCTAATGGCAAAATGTCACTTTAATTTAAATTTTTTGTACAGACAGGATTTTTTAATTTAATTTCGTGTTGTTTGCCTTTAACTTGACATTGCATCACACATTTCCTTTGCCATTGCTTCATCAACGCTGACTGACATTTGTGTATATTCTCTTCATTACCAAAGTAAACACAATCGTTTGCTTGTTACATCTCTCGACTGCCTTTTTTTCTCACAACTCAAAGTGATTCTGTAGAATGAATGAAACATGCTTCGCGGCAAGATTTTCTTTTTTTTTGTAATTTAAATGTTGGAAATAACGATGCAGGAGCAGGGAAAAAGAAAAGTGAAGAAGTTATTTCTATTTGGTGGCTGAAGCGCATTTTCTCTTTTACTACTGCCTAAGCACTTAAATCTCATGGATGTCTTAATTACGGACCTCATTGAGAATAAAAGCTTGTGCTTAGATAAGAACAATTCTTGTAGGAACATGTCCAGCTCAACAGAGCCTGTTAATTTCGATCCATCGTACAGTATCAGCTGAATTGAATAACTGTTATCAGACTACCCCGAATCAACAAAGAACCAGATCCTATACTTAATAATGTCCAATAATGTAAGCAATATCAAGCTCAGATCTGGATTTATGTGAATTAGGGTGCGGTGCTGTATCACCTGAATATGCCCTAAAAGGATTTCTTTAGACATTATTAACTGCTCAAATACAGACACTGACAAATTTCGTTCCTAACCATCTTAAATAAATTTGCTTAAAAAATTAATAAATGAAGCACAAGCATACAGCTATAATAATATTATATTAGAAACTTGAAAAGGGGAAGTAAAAAAAATTCAAACTTTTTATTAAAGCTCAAAAAGGAATCACATAATCAGAGATGAAGGTGTGAAGGGTTGTAAAGTGTGCGTACTTTTTTAAAAGGTGTGAATAAAATGTCTGTGAATGACAATGAAAAAGTTCCTTATGAGAAAAGGAGCATGGATAAATTAATTAAAAATTAAACAATCTAATTGCTTTAAAGAACAAGAAAAAAATGAAATTGAACATGAAGACTTGTGTTAAGACTGTTCATTAGTATGGTTGTTATCGTGTTCTCATTAGTTCTTCTTTTTAATTTCTCGAAGCTCTGGTAATTTTAGGGGATGTGAAAGAAAGCTAGAATAATTACAATCTTGGATAAATATAGCTTTGGGATCTCATACAGAATTTAAATTTTATGCCAAAAAAAGCTTGCTGGAAGTCATAACGAAATTTAAGACCTGCTTAACGTAGTTACAATCATAGGGACTTTAGATCATCACCGTCAATTTTTTTTTTCATTTTAATTGCATTTTATTGCAATTATTGACGACATACTGTCCGGTAATAATTCACATTTTACACTTTTGTATTTGTATACATATGAATTAGTATTATGTAGGATCAAACTTCTAATCTTCATATCTAGGTTTCAAATAAACTAAGGCTCTCGTTTCGATCTTCTGTGGGCGTGACGTGATACTTTTCAGGTCCGTTCTAACAATATTCCATTCGTGGGTAATCTTGTAGCTCTCGTTTCAATTTCTCCCGCTACACTTCAAGTTCCTGACCCGTTCCTTAATCTAATGTTGCCCAAATGCCCAATTATGGCTTAATCTTCTACATTAAGCAGTCGAAGTATCTAAACTTCCGAAAAGGAACAAATTTGGAAATGGCTGGATTCGAACCGACGACCTTCGAGTTACCATCCCATATTTGAGCCAAGTGCCTTACCTATTCGACCAGCAAGGCACTTAACTGCTTTGCAATAAACCGACCGCAAAGTTTTATCGAGACACTTCAGCTTACTGTTTGTATTAGTAATAAATAATGACGTAATTACAGTTTCAATGTTTTCTATCAAACTTTATCAACTAATAAACATCCAAGTGTTTACATTATAGCCCACAACCCTACATCGTGTCGTACATGAAAAACTTTTCTGACAACTCAGATGTCTTACCAACTTATTGAATGAGACACAAAAACTCTGCTGATAACATCCATTGTAATTAGATAAGTTTGCTGAATGAGACTGCTCATCCCATGAATTTATACTTAATTAATAAATATCCCAAGGCAGTTTTCTCAATATAATTACACTTATTTGAAATTAATTCTAAATAATCCGACTGACGTCATCTTCCGCTTTCATCCACACGAGCATTATCATGGAAATGAAGTTTTTTTTGTAAACATGATAAGAGCATATCTTTAGACTATCTGATTATTTGCTTTTCAATTCCCTTTTACTTCAACAATTTAGTCATTCAAGTATGTACTTGAAAGTAGGAAAAGAAGCGATGAAGAGCATGTTTGTGCTACATGATGTGATTCCCATTTACACTTTCTAAGATATTTTTTTTTTGTTACTGACATTTAATCTAATGTTATAATTTTGAAATTCGAACCTCTCTTGAATTAATTTTAAGACGTTTAATTAATGGTAATGGATTTTCGGGTACTGCAGTACACTGTGAGGTCCTCCTTCAAACAAGAATATGGAATACTAACTCAAAAAAAAAAACTTCTAGATGCATTCATCATCAAATTTCTAGAAAATTAAATTTTCTTGACGATTAGATTACTTCTAAGACATCCTTAGGTACCATTCTATATCCTTTTCAGGACTACAATATCAAATTAAAATGCGGATAAATAAAGTTTTATTTGACGACCTTAAACTTTAACGTTGTGCTGAAGACCTTTTATAATTCAACACGATATATCAAGAATTCAAGAGCAGATATCTCCTTATCGTGATGATATCAAAACACACGTTCGAAAATACGATGAAATAGAAATTAATCGAATGAGGCTTCTGCTACCTTTTTACATCTTCTCCCTTTTTCCTATATAAAAGTAAATAATGGCAAGATAAATGCTTTTCAGCCCTTATTTTCTTCTCTTCTTTCTTCATTTTTATTGCCAGACACTTTTCAACATTGAATGCCACTGTTGTCCATCCATTGTAAGTAGCA